ACCCTCCTGCTGAGGTTTCTGCAGCCACAGCCGCGACTGTGCTTGTGGCTCTGATGTCATCTCAGAGAAATTCCTTCCTCTCTTCTTTTCCAAACCCTGCTGTCTGCTGGGAGACCCCCACCTCCATCCTGCCCACCCAACACCACACACACACACACACACACACACACACACACACACACACACACACACACACACACACAAACACAAACACAAACACAAACACACACACACACACCCACACACACTCTATATCCTACCATCTGAACTCTGCGTTAAGAAAAGACTTGGAAATGGACTTGATACCTCACTATATCGCATTTCTCTCCCTGGCACAATGTATACAAAGCCTGTTTTGTATTGTACAAAAACGGCTCTGAGTCATTAGGACTGTTTTTGGGGGGGCCTGCGGCTGAATAGAGCTTGGTAATGGAGCAGTGGGAGAGCTGACAAAAGCAGCCCCCCCCCCACCAACACCACCACCCCTTCCCTCAGCAGACAGACTCAGACTGTAGTGTTTAAACACATAAGGTGACAGGGAGAGCGGCTGTGTGTTTGTATTGGCTGTGGGAAGATGAGGGGCATGACTGGAACATAATTGTAGAGTCAGACGTGTCTTTAGCCTGTTTTACACACCGACTCTGCCCCTTAAAATCTTCCTACACGTGTCCCGTACAGCTGGAGATTTTCCCTTTCCTACAAGGTGGGTAGGCAGAGTCAGACATGACCTAAGATGCTGCAAAAGTCCCGGTGTAATGTTTACAAAATGTCCAAGATGGTGAAGAAGCCATACAATCTGACACTATGACGACAGTATTTAACTTAATATATCAATGCATACAATATATTCACAGTAAAAACAAAGAGTGCAAACAGCAGAAAAGAGAATGAAGCAGCTTCATTGCGTGCAGTGAGATTCTTCCTGAATATTTCTTGCTGCTGCACATCGGCTCACCCTGATTTCATGCAGAATTTTTACTTTAGGGAGCTGGCAGGAAAAAGTCTGGATAAGGTTGAGGTGAAATATTCAGCCGTTTGTATTTGTACACCAGCAACTCAACCCTCAAAACTTTTAGGAGTTTGATACATGCATGACTAAGGCTGCTTGATTATGGCCAAAAAAAAATTGATACTGACATCAAGATCATAAAACACGATTACTATTTGACTTTCCAACATCTGCATCACATGCATTTATTGCACTTAAACACTGAACACTACAAATAGAAAAGTGGAAAAATGGCCTTAGACTACCACAAGTTAAACTTTTATGTCTGACTTTGGGGTGGATATAATGGAATGATAAATGCTCTTCTTCCCTCTAGCCACCATCTCTCAGTCCTTCCATCCTCCCTCACATCTGCCCTAACTTGGGCTTGCCAACGCCACTTGGGTCAAGACTGCAGCAACCATTCAATTAACAAACCCCTGGAATCTGACTCGCGTTCGGGCAGGCGTCCAGAAAAACCGCGCCCGCTTGGGTGGACGAATCAGCTTTCTCTGCTCTTGCCACTGAGGACCCTTCTGTGTTTTTCGGTGAGAACTTCTGACAGAGAGTCAGCTGGGGCGGCAATAGAAAGCATTCACACTGAGACCCAGAAGCATGCAGGCATAACCAGTCGTGGGCAGACATGTCAAAAGGCTCCTCTTAGAATGCAGGTCAGAGCTGAGCTGACCTCAGGGGTTGAGGAAGGACGAGGATGAAATGCAGAGATGAGGAGGGAGGAGGGGAGCTGATTGTACATCTACACGCACAGAATATGTTGGTAGGGGGTTGTAGTTGCCAGACAGGCCGCAGGGGCAAAGGCTGCTCCCCTGATGGGGGTCTTTCAGCGTGCCTGGGCCGGGTGGGAATGAGAGCTGACGGGTGTGAAATGCTCCTCTTTCTCAGTGACCCAGGCCCCTGCTAGGTCCAGCCTGCTAACACTGTCGCTTTGTCCCACACATTCTCCAAGAGCCTGAATATCAAAGGACTCTTAAAGGCCGAGCTCGGGCTGCATGAATGCTGGAGGGACTCTGATGGCATGTGGATAACTTTTGTGATTGCTATGATGTGACAGGCACTCGGAGGTTGAGACGGGCATTGTAAGTCTGATGACGGAGATTTGAGCGAGTGACTGTAACATTTAAGGAAAACTGCTGAGTCAATGTGTTGCAACACTCTGGATTCTTGAGAAATCTTTATTCATATCCTATTTTGTGTCTTCTTAGCCAACACCTCTTAGAACATGTTACCTAACAAAACTGATTTTTTTTTTTTTAACCACACAAGATGTATATCCCTGGGATACATCATGATTCAATTAGATCACTCACTGAGCTGAGCACAACTCTGTGATTACCCAAGTCTTCTTCAAAATGGTGACATCCATTTTGCTTACTGGTAGGGAACAGATGGGCAGCATTGGCAGAGAAATGTCACGGCAAATGCAAATATAGCACCTTGTTGTTTCTGTTTTTGCCGCTGTTCTGACTGTTCTTGCTCTTTCCCTCTGCTTAAAAAGAACTAACACCTCGCTGGAGGATAATGATGACGACAACGCTGATCTGGGTTCTACTTTTTGTTTCCGCTCCACAGGAAGCAGAGAGACGTGTATATAAATGCACACAGATTAGAGGCAGTCTGACGGTGTTTACAGACGACATGTTGCTTCAGCAATCTGTTTTTCCTCTGCTAAACACTAACTATTAGACTGAAGGGTTTTGGTTTTGTTTGTCATTCTTCTAGTTGGAAATTTAAGTCATTGCATGGCTAAAACAGATCAAATATACAGAAACAGGCCAGGTTTAGGATGACACTTGCCTTCTTGATAATAGTGCATGACATGGAGAATGTCAGCCATTGTCACTGGAAAGACGATCCTTCAAGGTGTGCTTGACTTGTCTGTCAGTGTGAGATTGTGTGACTAAAATAAATATTAGACGGTTGTTGTTGGTCAATTTGATTCTCAAAAATTCTTGTCTGACTGAGACACATCACATAGAGGGTGCACTAATAGGGCGTTTACACTTGCAGAAATCTCCTGTAAAACCTCCTGATATTTCCAGAAGGAGCTGTATGTGTGAACGCAAACAGCCACATTTTTCACTCGCACTTCACTGGGACTTCTTCTCCCAGACCCCTAGTCTTTTATATGCATAAAGTCCGAGTGAGCTGATGTGAGAACGCAGCAGGATCTTCTCCGGAGAATTCTCCTTGTGCCATTCATTATGTTTTCTGTTTGTCAGTGTGTTGTTCTCCGCTCTTTTGTTGATAGCGTGATTCCGTTGAACTACACACATAGCATTGATATAAAGGCAAATATTGTCATTATTGCATCTGTTGCTTCGTCTGCTACTTCCACATCGTCTTTTTACATCGCCTCTTACCTCAGGAGACCCCCTCCCCCCAGCGCCCACCCTCCTGTCTGACATGGTTAGTCTCCAGCTGTGAGGAGCATATGTGAACAGCCAGGTCAGGAGAATCTCCAGAGCAGACCTCCTGACATGATCTAGATATTTTCAGGAGGGTATATGTGAAAACAGCTTTACTGAGTCTTCCTGTATGTGGTACAACCTAAACATCGTGCTGTGTAAAATCATACACTTGAGACTTAATCTACCTCCTGCCTTACAGTTTCTCTATGCTGATGGCTATTCAGGAGCTAAAACCTGCCTCATGCACACTGAGCTGAACAATGGTAGTACTCTCAGAACATTTCTGGAAGGCGGACTCACATTTGTGAGAGAGCTTAATAATAGGGATAATGACAGGTTGGGAAAAGGAGAGGCTGTGTTTGAGAGCCTCCCACTAATACTAGAGTTATTATGGAGAAGGGAAAGGAAGAAGTCGTGTGGAAAGAGATGAAAAATTACACCGTAGACTTTTTTCTGTTTTTAAAATGGGTCTATCAAATCTCCAGCAAAGCATGTTTTAGGACTAAAAAAGAAACGTGCAAGCGAAGCAGCAGGGGGAGAAAAGATTCTCTTGGCAAATGGCTTGGTGTGTTTGCCACGTCTCTGCAGCTGACTCATCTCCTATGTCCGCCTGTTGTTGTTCCTGCTGTCCTGAAGCTGTCGGTGAGGAGATGATGTATCAATATCAGATCCTCGTGACTGTTGCTGGAAAATATGTTTGAATCTGTTTTGATTCAAATATGATGTCAGGAATAAGGTTATGAGTACGGCATAAATGATAGTATCAGAAAGTACTGAAGCTTTAAACAACTTCAGATCTTCAGTCTAATATTTAACAAAAAGCTGCTGCAAGCAAAAGAGAGAGAGAGTGAAGCTGTTTTCACACATGCACTGAGGTAGACTGCCCCAGAAATGTTCCTGAGGTGGTTGTTCACACATGCACCTCACAGCGAGAGACTCTCCCTGTCGGATGGGGGGGAAGGGGAATGTCTCAGGAGGTGAGACATAACTGAGAGGACCACCTGGTTACAGCGGATAAAGAACACTACGTTATACAGAGAATGTTTTCCTTCATATCAACGCTACATGTTCTTCTACAAAATCACAATATCAGAGAAGGACATTCAGTACTGACAAACAGAAAACATAGTGAAATGGTTTCAGACAGATCTCAGTGGACTTTCCTGAATATTTGCTGCTGTGTTCTCACATCAGCTCACCCTGACTTCATGTAGAAAATGTACTTGGGCGCTGGCAGGAGAAGTACGATCAATGTCGGAGTGTGAAATGTAAATGTTTGTGTTCACGCATGCAGCTCAGCTATATTATACCTACACCCAATTTTAGGGTGCCCAGGCCTTTTTTTTAAAAATTTTGTTGCTGTGGTATTGAAGCAGGTAGTAATAATGTTTGAGTTTTGTCTGTCACGCTGAAGTGACCTGAGGCCGCTCACAGCCAGGTGTAGTAACCTGGGAATGACCTGGTGAGCAGTAGCCCTTAAAGCAGAAAGTGATATAATGTCTGACATTCTGTGAGGATGCTGCGTGTAAACTGTGTGGCATCTTTTTAAGTTGCTCAAACTTTCCACGCTCTCCTTCTTTCAGATCCAGAATGCTGAGAAGACGATGAATCCATCAGGTCATCTGAGACATCCACGTGTCTTTGCCGCTGTCCTTCCCCGACGGCCCTCCTGTCCCACTGCCTCCCAAAGCTCGCCCCTTGGTCCCTCCCCCCTCCCCTGCCCCCAGTAGTGGCCGTCCCAGAGGAGAAAGGCAAGCCAGCCCCCTGTAAATATGCCTGGATGGAGGTCTCAGTGGCGTCTCGTCCTGCTGAACTCCCTGACCTGTGGCCTGGAGATCTGTGTGGCAGCTGGGATCACATACGTGCCCCCGCTGCTGCTGGAGGCTGGGGTGGAGGAGCGCTACATGACCATGGTTCTAGGTAAAGCCATGATAAGCCCCACGACTTCACCATAGTGTAATGTGTTCCTCCCTCACATTTTCATTATGTTCATTTGATGTCCTCTGTGGCTTGTTCCACAAGTGTCTTTTGTATTTTAAAAGTATTTTTTATATCCTTTGAGAGCCAATCACACAATACAATACTCTGTCTGTTGACACGAGGCTTAAAGGCAATAAGATTTTGTTGATTTATTTTGATTGCTTTGTTTGCTGTGGTTAAATGAAAAGCCTTTTCATTAGTCGCTGCTGACGTCACAAGAGCTGTAAATCAAAACAGACTTCTCCCTCTAAGAAGTTTTTATGAATTAGTTTTAAACATGAAGGTGTGTCCAACATCATCCAGTGGTGGTTTTCCTGGAGGCGGGTGGTGGTGTAAGGAGGCGTGGCTCTGCCTCAGGGCTCCTATCTTCTCTCCCATTCAGCTCATAAAGACATAATTGAGGCTGTTACACAAATCAGCGGCCAAATCACCTGTTTCTTTTGTTGAGTTGGTAATCAGGCGCTAATTTGAAGGCAGCAGGAGGCCGAGCTGCTGGAGGAAGAGCCTCTAACTCCAGACTGAGACACACACTTCAGTTCATGTGATTCACTTTACACAGCAGATTGAAACACCAGGAGTTACTCTGGTTCTCTTAATGAATCTTTACAATTATATTATATAATTAATGCTATCTTAGCAAGGTAAAGACATGTGCAGTGGCTGTTTTGATGATTTATATTGGTTTGTTTTTTAAGGCAGGTATTTTAGCATGCTCATTAAAGGCAGGGTTGGTAATTTCCTCCAGATTCTCTTTGAAATTGTCTTTAGGTCCTGACAGAAATTAATAACTCATGTGCTCTGAAAAAGGAACTAAGAAAATCTGTCATCTGTATCAGTTGTAAGCAAATGTGCTGATTGTCAACAGGCAAAGCAGGAAACTGCTTGGGGTCCCAGGCCAGTAGGGGAGCCTCGAGGGTTGACAAACTTTACACCACAGAAGTGGCTCAAAATGTGCACATTTTCCAATGACAGTAGGAACCTCCCTAAGGGGGCCCCGTCTGACAGCACTCACTCTTGTTGCCCTGCTAAGCATAACATGCATTGCTGTTTTGAAAACCACAGACCAAAGAAAGAGGAACAAAAAGGAAGAGGAGTACCGTAAAATCCGGTGTATCAGATGCACTTTTAATACCTATTTTTTCATCTTAAAAGTTGGCTGTGTCTTATACACCGGTGTGACCAATACACCAGCATAAAATACTGAAACACACGCCATCATTACAGTGGGGGCAGCAGCCCCTATCACTGTGACCTGAAGTGATTAAAAAGCCATCCCCATTCATTGTGTATTGAAAGCTGAGTGCATGCTGTGCTGGGAAAGACGGCGACACAGCCCAGGCTGTTGGTGACCTCACGAGGTCATAATCATGCTTTTACAGAAAACAGTGGTATATTGTTCCGTAAATAAACCTTGTGGAGTGTTCTTTTGATTGAAAGAGTCCTACATTAAAGTTAAAGAGTGATCAGTGGAGTCGGGCAGCACGACCTGCAAGCTAGCAGGTCTGTGCCTCTGCCAACTTTCCCTGCAGGCTGAGAGCTCAACTACCGTACTGTAGCTAGTAGGAGTGCAAACTCCCCAAAGTGAAAACAGACGAACTAAAGAGCGACACAGCTGTACAGAAACTGCACATTGTAGACATCGCTGAACACAATATAAATCGTCACGCAGGAAAACAGTTTTTTTTCTCTCAAAGAGACCTTCAAAACAGGGTGGGTCTTATACACCGGTGCGACTTATATTCTTTTTTTTACGGTAAGCGTTGGAATAGTGGTGGTGATAAACGCTGGTTGGAGGGCCCCCCCAATGAATTTTTGCCTAGGGCCCCAATATACTGTAGAATCACTACTGGTTGAAAGCCTGTAAAAAGTTTGACCAATGTCTGCCACGAGGTACCAATCTGATGAACCAATCACAGCCTCCCTGTCTCCCTGCTCACTCTCTACCCCCGCATGCACGAGCCTACACTCAAAACACGTCACTGACAGAGTTTATACTGTGAGTTTGTCGTTGGCCGTTGTGAGTAGTTAAATTGTCATGTTTTTATTTACATGTTTTATGATAAAGTTTATTGTTTGCTTACCGCTGAATGAGACATGAGACGACGTAGTTTCTACACAATAAAAGCGATGAGCTGAGGTCCACTTCTGGAGCAACGGCGCTCGTGCATGTAAGTGAGGGGCGCACAGAGGGGAGGGTGAAGCTGGAGCACTGAGGGAATGCTACTCTCCAATCATGCTAGTTTTCGACAATTACCAACCCTGCCTTTAAAGTTTTGCTACATATTTTATGTATTTTTTTAAATGTGTGCAATGCAGGAACATTTAGCTTTATATCTAAAAAATTAAAAACACTTCTCAGCTTGATTTTTCTTAGACAAATGTTTCACAAAAAAATAGATTTTGATATTGTCCTACCCATCACAGCAGCATGCTGAATAAGTAAAAAAAAAGTTATCTAATAACTATACATCTGATTTGCTCTGCTTTGTAACACATCTTTCCTCAGGTCTTCTGAAGTCCTTACTGTCATGTCTTCATGTTGGTTCTGTTGAGAAATTAGCATCATAATGTAGGACAGTGTTTGAACAGAAAAACACTGTAATTCAAGCACAGCTTTCACCATAGCAACACTGTACAGGCATTGTAACCATGTTGTTAAAAAAAAAAAAACACTCCTCGGTAAAAACAAAGGGGTCATTTTTTTTGAAGAGGGGTTGTATGAGGTACCTGTCATTAATAAGTGTATCCCAAGCTGCGACCTCTGGTCTTGAGTGCAAAATCCTGCAGTGCGTCGAGTGTCCACTTGAGGCTGGCTTCAGGAACACAGGAAGTCACATACACACATCCAGAGGAGATGCCGGTCAGCTCTGCCCCTTTAAGGAGAGACAGGCTGCACTGCCTGCACAAAAGCTAGGCTACACTTCCGCTACAGACTGGGTCGTATGTAACATCACAACCAACCGTCTATAATATTCAGCCTTCAGAATCATGCAGAGGTGAATTTAAGAGATCATACCTACTGATCTAGATTGAGTTATAGGTATTTTCTGTCATCATAAAAGATCCAAAACATTGCCCTGGTATCATCTTTTTACATTATGTGCACCACCATGTCCAAGAATTCTGGGAAGACACACCACAAACACTTGAGGGAGAATGTGCATCTGATGACCGCACCGTTATGTCTGGCTAACGTATAATTCAATCTAGTGTTTGGTTGTGTACTTGTGGCCTCCTTTTAACCTGAAGGTAGACTGTAAGACTTTAACTCAAAGTAAAGATTCAGACTGACAGGTTTGTTTTTGTAAACGCTCAGTGATCGTCCTGCTCACAAATTACAGACATGTATGTACATCTAGCATTATATATCTGCACACTGTAAATAAGTTGACTAGTAAGCAATGTGAATAGCTGCATTATCCTGTCAGCTCAAATAGCTTTCACATGCCTTTCACTAAAGGCCTCTCTTTGAGACATTGTCTTGTGACTCTACAGATGATAGTTACAGCTTTACCGAACCGAAAGGCTCCGTGCGGATGACAGAAGTGTGTATTCAAGTTAAAAGACAAAAAAAAGAACATGCACTTCTACTTTTCCTGTCTCGTAAACACAGCCGGAGATATGAAGAAAACAGCCAATCTGGAAATTGCACTCAGCCTTATTCTCATCTCTCTGTATTATAATGGAGTGCCTGGGTGTTATTTCAATGAAGACAGATAGTGTGTCTTGGGAGGGTTAGAGCTCATTTCCCCAAGCAGTCGTGTCAAGTTCTCAGCCGGCTGTTTTCTACTTTAACTAATCGCCATTTGTTGGCCGATTTATCCTCCAGTTGTTACTTTCTGTCTCCAGTTTCCTCTCTCTGATAGCGGGTTAGATAATGAGGTATCCACTTATCTTGATGTTTTAGAATATTTGGGAGGTATTTAAGTATTAACAATTGATAGAAAAAGGTTCCACAGTGTGCTAAATGTGTGTAAGGGCAGACATCACAGTGATTGATGCGTGTAAACAGAGCTGGAGAACAGCTTGTATTGTATTCAGAAGCTGGAAGGCATTACTTAGTGTGTGAGATATATCATATATACATGTATAGCAGAAAGCAGTGAGCAGCTTCTGGGTGGAGAGTGTGTGTGCGTGTGTGTGTGTGTGTGTGTGTGTGTGAGAGACAGTAAGTCTTCCAGCTGTAGACAGTGAGGATTGTTATGACGGGCCTCCACAGCTGCAGTGAGGAAAAATGCCATGGAGGCGCTGACTGCCGGCTGCAGCCGTCTTATCCATCTTTCTCAAATTGCCTGCCCGTCTCATTTTCTCTTCTCGTCATCGGAGTTCTCTCCAGACAACAGAAAACACACGAGTTGTCTCTTTCTCCCCCGTGTTTCAGCTTCTCGTCAAACTGTAGGAGGACTTTGTGGGATTGACCACTAGAGGCACTGTAGAGTCATATTTTCATGAGGCAGAAGTCTCTGGATTGTTGTTTCATTCAAAAAAAAATTAGCAATCATGTGCAGGAGAACAGAAATGTAGACACAACCTGTTTGTCTGTAATAACTATTCCGCAAGGTGCCTTTGAAAGGTTCAACTCTCGGCAGGGACTTTTTGGGGGTTTGCACATGTGTCCATGGTGTGCTCTAATTATCCAGACCTGAGTACGTGTGGAGACAGAGCTGAGGGGGGTTTACCTCCAGGCAGCAGGCCATCTGTAGGAACAATCTCCAGCAGTCAGTGAGGAAGGCAGAGAGAGGCACATGTAGCTCACCCCCTGTAGGAGCATTAGAGGGCCACTGGAGCTGAAAAGAGATTTCATAGGTGTAGGGGATTTTTGAAGGAGACATTTAGATAATCTTGGAAGATATTAGTGGAAACTTTATTTGTGATTTAAGGTGTTTTCAACCAAACTTTTAAGTGTGTCAATGTTTTGGAATAAAATGTACACATTGTACATCTGTAAATTAATTGTGTGAAGCAAATTGCATATAGTACAGCAATATATCATCATCCCCATCAGTTTCCAAAGAGGAAGTGGATGGTAGGACACAAGAACAAGAAGAAGAAGAAGACAATGTCAGGCAGCTGTGAAAAGAAGTTAAGAAATAAAGTGTGACGAGGTGTCAGCAGCTGTTACACTGTCAGCATCCATTTTTAACTCAAAACAAACGCAATTCAGCATTTTCAGCACTCAGAAACAGAAGTGCAATAACACCCTCAGCAGCAGGTTTTGTTTTTGGTCCCTTTTTAAAGATTCATTTTGGTAGCTTTTTGTGCCTTTACTGTAGAGATAGGACAGTGGATAGAGTCGGAAATTAGGGACAAAGAGAATGGGGAATGACATGTGGGAAAGGAGCCAGAGGTCGGATTTGAACCCGGGGATTCCTTCGAGGACCAGAGGCTCCATACATGTGTGCACCCCAACCACTCATCCACCGCCGCCCCCAAGGGCGACACTTTTGATATCGGCTTTTGCTTTGCTAAAGCTGCGTATGTTGCTAGGATTCCTAATGGGGGCGCTGGTGGCGCAGTGGTTAGTGCGTGCGCCCCATGTATGGAAGCTGTAGTCTTCCAAGCGGGCAGCCCAGGTTTCCGACTCTATCCACTGTCCTAGCTCTCAAATTTAAAAAAAGGCCCATAAAGCCCAAAAATAAATCTTAAAATAATAAATAAAAATCAACCTAATGGTCACTACCAAGGAAGGCAGAAGTTAACTTAAGTAACCTAGCAACAATAAATGCTGGTGAGAAGCGCTCTCAAACTGAGGTTGTGGGCATAGCAAGCATGAAAAAAGGCTGTTAGTGGACTCAGGCCCTCGATCCTGTACTCTACCTGTTTAGGAGCATGTTTGATATGTATCATATGATCACTGTGTCGTGATATTATCGAGTATGTTTGTTATGTATCATATGATCACTGTATTGTGATATTATCGAGTATGTTTGTTATGTATCATATGATCACTGTATTGTGATATTATCGAGTATGTTTGTTATGTATCATATGATCACTGTATTGTGATATTATCGAGTATGTTTGTTATGTATCATATGATCACTGTATTGTGATATTATCGAGTATGTTTGATATGTATCATATGATCACTGTATTGTGATATTATCGAGTATGTTTGTTATGTATCATATGATCACTGTATTGTGATATTATCGAGCATGTTTGATATGTATCATATGATCACCGTATCATGACATTATCGTGATCGTGAGTCATGTATATAGTTTCACCTGTGCTTCTGCTGTTCAGTCTTCCATGCTTGTCTCTGACTTCTTGGCTGCATCTCTGGTTTTTCTTCACAGGTATTGGTCCGGTGCTCGGCCTCTTGTTCATCCCTCTGATTGGCTCAGCCAGTGACCACTGCAACAGCAGTTATGGCAGACGACGGCCGTTCATCTGGCTGCTGTCTCTTGGAGTCCTTCTGGCGCTTGTCATCATTCCCCATGCTGACGTGCTGGCTGCACGCCTTGCCTGGGGTGGGCGCACCTTTCAGGTAGGACACTAGTTATTGTTGTGACTTCTTCCTACAGAGCGCTCAAGTGACTCTGAAGTGTTCAAGGTTAAAATGGCGCTCTCGCTGATGTTGTATTCGTTCACTTTGCTGCAGGTGGGCTTCCTTATCCTCGGGGTGGGGCTCCTCGACTTTTGTGGACAAGTTTGCTTCACGCCCTTGGAGGCTCTTTTGTCGGACCTGTATCGGGACGAGGAGGACTGCGGCCAAGCCTTTGCCATGTTCTCCTTCATGGTCAGTTTGGGAGGCTGTGTGGGTTATTTGCTGCCTGCACTGGACTGGAGTAGTGGGGTGCTCTCCGTTTACCTGGGGGGCCAGGCCGAGTGCCTCTTCTCCCTCCTCATCCTCATCTTCATCTCCAGCGTGCTCATTACCATGAAGGTGTCTGAGGAACCGTCGTGTGCCAGCAGTAGCTCGGCCGGACCCGGATCTTTACTGGACACGGGGACCGGCGCGATGGAGGCGGGTCGTTGCGGGGTGCCGCGCTCATGCTGCTATCTGCTGAAGTGCAAGCTGAGGCTGCTGAAGTCTGGACCCCTGCTGTGCCTGCTGAGGACTTGCTGGTCCATGACCCCGGCCATCTACAGGAGCTACTGCCACGTCCCGAGGGTGATGAGGCAGCTGTGTGTGGCTCAGCTCTGCAGCTGGATGGCCGTCATGTCCTTTATGCTTTTCTACACAGACTTTGTGGGGGAGGGCCTGTACGAGGGCGTGCCCAGTGCGTTACCAGGAAGTGTGTCCAAGCAAAGATACGATGAAGGTCAGCTCTTTAAACTTACTGAAGATTTATCTGTTATCTCTAAATACATATGTAACTCACTGAGCTCTACACAGCGGGTTTGAGGAGTTGGTGTCTTTATTAATCTCTCAGCAGAGGATTGTTTTGTTTACTTCTGATGTTTTTTTATGATCATGAAGAAAATCTCCACTCATATTTGCTCTTAAAGCATGTTATGAAACTAACTTCCATTGTGCATGTGGGACACAAAACCTTTACTAACAAAGCATAGGCATGCTCTTAAACTCTGCAAAGACAAGTGGTGCTAACTCAGAAAGACAACTATAGAAAATAACATCAGCAGTCACAATACATTTAGAAACTTTTAATAATGAAGATAAACAGCAGCTCAATGAAACGAACGTGTTGTAGCCTGACACTTTCATCAGCCTTTTTAAAGACAAATGTGGGTGTGAGACATTTATCAACAATCGTCACCAGGTGCCAAACCAGAAATAAATAATAAGTCAAAATAGGAAGAGAAATGTAATCTAAATGAAATCAAATACATAAGATTCCCAATACACCAATAACACACAAATTTACAAGAAATGAGTCTGAATTGGGGCTGCCTGGTGGTGCAGTGGTTAGCGCTGTTGCTGCACAGCCAGAGAAAGTTAATGGTTCAAATCCCCGTCTGACAGGAGCCTCTCTGTGTGGAGTTTGCATGTTCCCCCCTGTGCAATGATGGGTTCTCTCCGGGTACTCCGGCTTCCTCCCACAGTCCAAAGACATGCTGGTTAGGTTAACTGGTGACTCTAAATTGCCCGTAGGTGTGAATGTGAGTGTGACTTTGTCTGTCTGTGATTGACTGGCCAACAGTCCAGGGGTCGCCCAATGACTGCTGGGATCGGCTCCAGCCTTCTGCAACCCTGAACGGGAAAAGCGGTTTAGATAAAGGATGGATGGAAGTTTGAATTGAAGGGAAAAATCACCAGCATCAAAAATGTATCAAAAATCACTAGAATGAGTCCTCTGTCAGACGAAAAGCCAACTGTCCCAGTCTACATATATATGATCATAAGACCCTGGAAAATCAAATAAAAGCTTCCGATCTAAGTTGCAATTAAGCAAATCATGAACAACAATGAAAACAAAGTTGAGTATGTTTGATTAAGACATCAAAACGAGAGAGAAATAAAAGAAATAAGCATAAATTGCAAGGCGGTAAAAAAAAACGGTAAACACAAAAATGATTCTGTCGCTACTGGAGACATTATTATGCGTCAACAGAAAACTCAAGACCTACCTTCTGACATGTCCTCCCCTCCACCACCTGTAAACATGTAACCTGGCACAGCGTCCATCCTGTCTTTGCTGTCTGCTCCGTCACCAGCTGGGCAGGATGCACGCACATTCCTCCGGCACAGGTGGAGGACGCAGACAGTGTTCCTGCATGCCTACATACCTTCCTACTGACCTTATTGTGTGTCCTGTAAAGAAATAGCGCACAGACAGAAAAGACCAACTTTAAATATGGACTCTCTTGCAGGACATTGCACCACGTGTTGAGAATTCCTATTCCAAATCCAAAAAAATCTCAGGTATTACTTCCCCCCCCGTGTTCTTCAGAAATGTTCAAATATATACAGGCCGTCTTCATCCTTTTCCTGTTCCTGCTCTTTTAATCAGAGAGTCGTGTCACTAATCCTGCTCGACAGTCCTATGGCTTCATTCTTAAGCTATGCCAAAGCTAAGCTGTATGGTTCTACCTAAATATATCCTTTAGATAGAAGGTTTACGGGCAGATAGACCTGAACAAATCCGTCCTGTCAGTGGTAAGGAGAGACAAGCATGCAGCAGAGTCTGTGATTTATTTTACCGGATGATGTTTTCGAGAGAGAACAGTAAAGAGGATGAATGGAGCTGAAGTGAACAGATGTGAGGCTGGTGTTCCTGCCCAGGTTGAGAAGTTACAGATGTTTTTAAAGTCTCTTTTTGTTTAGCGACAAGCCAGACTATTGAGTATTTCTCTTTTACTTAACAATGTGCCTTTCTATCCTCTCTTCTCATTTCATTACTGACTGTCCACCTCTAATCCCTTTTTTTCGACCTCCCCTCCCTCCTCAATCTCCCTCTCTTGATTCCAGTTTTCAAACATTTCCTTCATTCTTTTCTCTCTCTAGCTCCCTTTCTACTATTGTTTACTTTTCACTTTCCCCATGTCTGCCTCTCTCTCTCTTTTTTCCTCCCTGTGCTCGCTGGACCTCGAGGAATGTCACACTCACAATGAATTAATGTCAAGAAATGAGCACAGAAAGAACATGTTCATTCAAGTCAGGTGGAGGGCCAAAGGACACGACTCCGAGGTCTGTGTGAGGCGCGTTTGTTCCATCTAAAACACAGCGGATGTTATGAAGCCACATCATTCAGCCTGCAGATGTTCCTCTCCATCAACATGAAGCACTTTGTCTGTAGTTACATGGACTTAGTTGTTCTTCGCCGCAGATGTCTGAGAAGCTTGTGATGCAGAAACAGTCTGTGCTGTTCTCCTGCGTTTTCAGTAGCGTTCTGACTCCGTCCCTACATCTCCCAGCGCTTGGACTTTTCGTTTAGGTTAGCTTCTTTAGTGTTCGTGAAGTGGGCTCAGCAGCTTTGCTTTCCAGGAGTAATACGATCCACTTCCTCATTTCTCATGAGTGATTTCTGCTCTGCTGCTGAACTTTTGACCTGACAGTGTTCACCGAGAGCGAGCCCAGATATCAGACTAATACAGGCTGAAATAAACGACTGAGCAGACATGTAGGCAGTCTATTTTCCATGGTTTAGGACTTCAATATAAATAATTACAGCATGGAATAAACGAGACGATAAAGGAGAAAAAAACGCAAATTGAAAAATGTTCCAACAGTTCACTTCAAGTTATTAAAAAGCGAACAATGTTTTCAAAATGTTTAAATTCTTCCGTTCTGTCAAACCACAGAAATATGACTCTTCATTTTTTTTACAAGAAGTTAAAAGGGAGAATGCAACTTTTTCTTACGACTGTAACATACTCATGAACTCAAACATGTATTCCTTAAAATCTACTGTTGAATCTTGGAGTTTAAAGTCTTTATCTTCACCTCTGGTTGATGTCAATGTTTCACTCTTAACTATAAGTAATTTAAACGTCACATACAAACTGCGTGTTTGCTGATCTAGGTTGAGATTGTTCAGTCAGAAACAGAACACTTAACAACATTAGATTAACGCTTGTCTGATATCGGTTCATTTAAACTGAAGCCAGAATAAAAAAACAAGTATTTGGAGGCTTTGCGAACACAGATAACTTTTCACAGGCTGAACACTGAATCCCTTTTGTCAGCGCGTTGGCACAACCTCATTAAAATACTTGACCCCCTGGTAGACTTGGACTAGAAAGGTCCCTGCCTGAGTAAACCTGCACGGGCCTGTGGGGGTCTTCCCCTCCCTCACATAAAAAGGATTTATAAGGTTAATGCCATGACTGTCCAAGTCAGTCACCCCCTTAAGTGTGCCCATGTCACAGAGCTGTCTCTGACTCAGCCCAAACCATTTTTCTGTCTGTTCAGGCTTCAGCAAACATCTCACATAAAGATCTGTTGATACATCACAGTTTAAAGCTAACTTGTAGGGCTTTCACACATGCACAAAAAAAAACCCTCCGGAAAACCCTCCTAATAATATGCAGGAGGAACTGGATGTGTGAACACAAACAGCCAAAGGTATTTTTTTCCCGCAGAAAGTCAGAGTGAGCTGCTGTGAAAACGGAGCAGGATATAATCAGGAGAATTCACCTCGATCATAGACCGTTTGCATGCGAGCGGTGCGATCTATGGCCACAATAAAATGGCTTCATTATGTTTTCTGTTCTCCAGAATGTTCTTCTCCACTCTTTTTCCACTCTCTCTCCACTCTCCATATTGTGATTATGTAGAACTACATGTAGCATCGACATAAAGGTAAATATTCTAATTATAGCGTCGTATGGCAGACTGATGCTTCGTCCGCTACTTCTGCATCATTCTTTTTATCGCACTTTTAACCTCAGGAGACCCCCATCCCTCCTATCGTCTGACAGAGATAGTCTCCTGCTGTGAGGTTCATGTGTGAAAGAACCAGATCAGGAGGATGTAGGGGCAGTCATCCTGAAATTCTCTCAAAAAGATTTAGGTGTGGATATGTGAAAACAGCTATACAGAGGGTCTGGCTGTGGTCAGGCATGCTGCTCATCTTTCACTTGAATATGGTGACAGACTGAGATAATAAGTGGGTATGCAGATGTCAGAAAGTTTCTGAACATACAACACATTTACACAATCCAGTCATCATTACAGCTGGAGCTCCTGTACAGTCTGATGTCCTTTTCAAAAATGCACAAAAACTCCTAAAACTCTTAGGCTGAGCTTTAGGTGTGAACGCAAACACCACGACTCTACCTGGACATTTTCCTGCCAGCCTCCTAGTAAAATGTCTGCATGAAGTCCTGGTGAGCAGATGTGTGAATGCAGCAGGTTATATTCAGGAAAATGTACCAAGGGGGGGGGCAGCTGGCAGGGTGATGATGTTTCATATCCTTTGACCTCTGCAAGACCAGTTCAATTCTCCTGCACATAATGAAACTTCTTCATACCCTCCTCTTGTCGCCATTCCTGTTCATTTGTTTAAATTAAAAATACATCCGATTACACAAAGTATTGATATAAAAGAAAAAAGCTGTCATCATAGCATTGAACTCTCTTGCTTTGTCCAATACAGTTTGACTTCCATGATGTCCTCTTTAGGTCATGTGTGAGGCAGGCTCTCCTAATATTTTCTAGAAGTGTTCCAGAGTTAAAGTGTGAAAAGGGCTCACCTGGTTGTAACACATGATGCGTTTCCTCTCAGGTATCCGTATGGGCAGCCTGGGCCTGTTCCTGCAGTGTGCTACCTCAACCTTCTTCTCCCTGATCATGAGTCGCCTGGTTCGCCATTTTGGCTCCCGGTGGGTCTACCTGAGCAGCATGGTGAGCTTCACGGTCTCTGCGTCCGTCATCTGTCTCTCCAAAAGCGTGGTCCTGGTCACCGTGATGGCCGCTCTAACTGGCTACGCGTACGCCACGCTGCAGACTCTGCCCTACACACTGACCTGCCACTACCACAAGGAAAAAGAGGTCAGTCAAGATTTCCACTTTAGATCAACAAACAGTGTGTTGACAAATTCAGTTATAGAGGTTAACTGTTATGTTCTATCTTGTTCCAGGTCTATATGCCAAAAACCAAAACCAAAAGCACGCTTAAAAATGGGATTGCAGCCAACCGGGACTCAGTGTATTTGACTCCAGCTGAAGGGGAGGATGGACTGAAGAACAAAACAGGGACTCCCTACGGACAAGCCTTCTTCAACCAGAACGGCTACGAGTACCTCCCGAGTCCGCTCAGCGCGAACGGCTCTGCTCACAGCCCCGCTCACAGCCCCAGCGTCACTGAGCAGGAGGAGGCGGAGTCTGGGTTTGAGAAACGTGGCGTGGGTTTGGACTTTGCCATTTTAGACAGCACCTTCCTGCTCTCTCAGGTGTTCCCCACCCTCTTCATGGGCATGATCGTTCAGTTCGCTCAGAGCGTCACCGCCTATATCGCCTGCTCTGCCATCTTCGGGGCCGTCGCCATCTACTTGGCCAGACAAATCATCTTCGACCAAAAGGACCTCCTCAGGAGCCGAGACTTCAGTGGATAAGATGTGTGAGAGATGGAATTACAAATAATCAATCAATACTGTTTCCAGAATGCCTTGTTCCAGATCCGTGTGTTTCAGATCTGAACGCTCTGCGTTGGGGAGGTGTGTGTGTGTGTGTTGAAGCGGGTGGTGTGTGATCATCTCTCACAACTTTCTGTTGGATTTCTTTTTTTCCTCAGGTACCAAAAACAGATTTACTGTAAAACTCATCAACCTCATTAACATTTAGAGGGTTCTTTATATAATGATCTTATCCTGAGCTATCCACAAAGTACGCTCTGTTTGTACTCAAGCAAAGAAGTAACGTCTGTTTTTTACTTCCTCTGCAGCATCAACAATCATATCTGAACACTGGTCATCATCGGTGTGACAGGCTTGTCTTTCTTAACGTGTGAATGGATAGGTGAATCAATTATTTCTGCCTATTCCCGCAGCTCCGTAAGATAAGGAGACATGAAGACCTTAAAAAAAAGATCAAAATTGTATTTTTCTTTAAGTTCTTAGAGGAGGTCAAACTTTTATCTTAAATCTTAAATGATCCATGATACAACTCAGTGTCATCTTTTAATTAAACACCCTTTAAGTGCCATGTAATTTAAACTCCATGCCCTCCGTTTGATCCTTGAGATATTTTAAAGAGGACATACTGTATTATCCCCTTTTTCCTCCTTTTCAAAAAGTCCCCTGTGGTCTAAATGAAACGTCTGTGCTGAGCTTTGGTCAAAATATAACATGAATCAAGCACCAGAGGAGGTTTGTGACCCTGTATAAACCAGCTCTCTCAGAACGCTCCGTTTTGGTGTGTGTGTCTCTTTAAATGCAATGAGACCCCCCCCCCCCAAGTTTTCCCGGTAGACATCACTCCTCTGTAGTGAGAATAAAAATGGTGGACTTGAGCAAAATGTTTGTTCTAGGCTAGGGGTGAAGTCCATGGGTGGAGATACCAGGATAGGGGAGGGGATTTTTTATTTCCCGAATCCCACTGTGACATCACAAGGAGAGCAAATTTGAAACAGAGCATTTTTCTCTGTGTTGTAAGACTCATGCAGACCACAAACAAAGAAAGGACTGGATGGGTTTATTTCACATTTTGTGGGTCAGTAGACACTCAGGTTACCCAAATATATGTTCAACAACACTGTGAAAGTGGATTTTTCATAATATGTCCCCTTTAAATCTCAATCTTGTGACATGAAATAACCCAGATGATGACACCATCTGGGTTAGTTTCCCAGTGTTGACAAAGCTCCTGCAGAGCCGCAGGGGGGGTGTGGTTCAGCGGTTCATACAGACAAAGAAGTATTACATCGCCTTTTTGTATGCATACCCCTTTAAATCCAGTTGTACTCTGACATTGGGTCCCATTTCATGTCCCCCCCCCCCCATCAGTCATCTTGTGTCATCAATTAATCAAAAACAGTTTAACTGTAAATATTTTAAAACATGGTTAGTGGTTATCCCTATGGGAATATTTTATGCAACCCATTGAGGTGAGGTCATTGCCTGTGGTGGTCTACAAATGAAGGGTTCTACTGGAAGTGAGTAAATGTCATCAAGCGTCCTCTGTCTGGATAGTCGAGAGTTGTCTGCTGAAGTGCTCACTCTTCCCGACTACGACCCTGGTCTCAGGTTAGCCCGTTGTCCTTATGCCACTGATATACACTCCCTGCTGCCTAAGTCGTCATGTTTAACTGTATGTTCAAATGACAATCTCAAACATCCAGATATGTAATGCTCTACGTATGTGAACGTGTGTGTGTGTGTGTGTGTGTGGGGGGGGGGGGGGGGTATAGTCTGCTCCTGATAGACCAAAAACAAAACAAAATCATGCAGTTATTGCAAATATTTGGTAACTGCAAATGATGCAAGAGAGTGGGCTTCAGCTTGATAGTGATGGGACGGTCAATCTGAGAGTGTGTGTGTGTGTGTGTGAAAAAGAGAGAGAGTGTGTGTGTGTGTGTGTGTGTGTGTGTGTGTGTGTGTGAAAGAGAGTGTGAGAAAGAGAGAGTGTGTGTGTGTGTGTGTGAAAGAGAGTGTGTGAGAAAGAGAGAGAGTGTGTGTGTGCATACATAACGTGTAGAGCACAGTAAAAGCATGACTCATATTTACATGCAGGGCTGATAAACCTTAATGAGTTTGTGCAGATTATAAACTGTATTGACTTTAACGTGGCTCATGTGTTGCTGTATGTTTGCTATGTGTTGTGTGCGTCCTTCAGTTGGACTCTTATAAAAATGGCGGGCGGTGTCAACGCGGCTCGTTTTCAATCAGTTCAGGAGTTCATATGAGCGTTTTGTATCCAGGTTGTCTGAGCCCCCCCTGAGAGGGGATAAATGATGTTCAGTGGATACAAACAGTCCTGATGGATCTTATTCCCCGAGGTGTTCAGCAGAGGATTTGTTTGTCATGTTGACACTGCTGCAAAAGAGGAACACTCTAGCGACTAAATTGTCCTTTTAACCCCTTAAAGTGTCGAGCAGATAGCTTAAAAAAGTGCCTGTACATTTTTCAAAACAAATTTTGTACATATGTGTTTATTTATTACGCTTTTATTACGGAATAGCTCGAATTAAACTATCGGCCCCTTTGGCATCTTTCACAGGTGCGAGGGTGAAGGCTGTTTCTGTGAATAAGATAAATTATTTGTATAGATGTGGTGTAAAAAGCATCATCGAAAACTGTAATTTATTTTAACATAATCCACTTTTATCCTGTAGCTTTTGGTTACATCACAGAGTCCGTGCCTGATAGCGATACGTATCAGATGAGAAAGCTGAACGTTGTCAGGATTTCCCCTTGTGGTTGCACACTCTGCATCAGCTGAAAACTTTATTTCTGTAACACAACTGAGATTCTGTGTGATTCCCATGCTGATGCAGCTTGTGCGTTTAAGTAGCCTCTTCATTTAGTCAATACTGCTTTATTTGGGTTTTACATAACTGCTCTGTTTGATTTTTAAACCGAGCAGATATAAAAAAAAATGCAGATTTCTTTTAACTGGGCGGATTGTTTCGTTGTCAACCAAATCTCCTAATCAGATACTAAAGTGCCAATGTACCAACAACTGTTGTGTCCCAACATGACTGATCCTTAAAGTTTTTGTCATTTTCCCACAGATGCATTCATCCATAATAAACAGTTGTGTTGTATTTTTCATTTTAAATCCATCAGTTTGTGTATGAATATGCAGTTACCAAATAGATTTTATACAAATTAAAGAACTGCATTGTTACTGACGTGTCCTGGGGTGATTTTAAATACAACGCAACATTCTGACTTTAACACCACAACATGGGTCGATCACTTTTTATGTATATGCAAGTGTAACCACCTCTCTGGGATTTCTGGACCCCCATGAAAAGCCTCTCCACAACAGCCTCAGTTAAACCTGTGACAATGCAACCACGCCTCCATTACACAAATGACCCATTCAAATGTTCCTCCTTGTTTTTGATACCACAAAATTAACGAGGATACGGTCCCTCATTTTAATGATTGACACTTTTGAAAAGTACTGGAGCTTTAAAAAGAAAAGTGTTTTTTGTAGGAGAGGCGTGAAAGAGAAGAAAACATGCTGTTGAAATTGGTATAAGTATATAATAATAGTAAAAGTAAAAGTATATTGGCAATGCTTCGTATCAGTGCACCTTTGACAGTGTGACGGAGTTTGCTTGCAATCTTTGGTAATTATTTAGAAATTAGACAATATGGGGTGCTAAGGACTTCTATTATTGTTACAAAGACTTTGTTACACCCTTATAAACTATTGCAGCTTAACTTAAATAATGTAATATATAAGCACCTTTTTGCATTAGAATCATGTTAAAGCTTCCAAAGGCTTTTACTTATTTTGCTCAGAGTTAAGAATCATTTTCATTTATTTGTCCTACAGTATTTTACCTTTACTATGACAGTGATGACTTGGAGAGAAACAAATCCAAACAAAAACTGTACATTCATTTCAGGCTTCCTCTTAATCAGTCCCACTGTTCTCCCTCACTGCAGCGCCCAATACTGTAACCACTGTAACTATTTGGTATTATTTAACCTGAAGCTGATTTTGATTTACTTCTCTAAAGTAACTTTTCTGTATGAAACGTCCGAAAAACTCAATGCAGTTTGGAGGCCAGACACTGCAGACTGAGCTGAAGTGGTTACAATGAACTTGGAAATGGTGCCATCCTTTGGATATTCTGAGGAACTGATGCGTGGAGAGAGACTGCTGGTGCGCAACTGCAACCGGCTCCGCTGACGCATGGGCATGCTGCTGGTGGCATTATCTATTACATGGAAAAGATGATAGGCTTTCATGTTGCAGGGAATGGCATGCTGACAATGTGTGCCGTTGCATGACCAGGCCTCTCCAGTTTGCTGCGCATAGTTCTCACGATTGCGCCGTGAGAAATGCACGCGTTATGGTGGACTTGTAAAAATATGATACTTGTTTAAAATGCCACTCCGGGCCTCCGTTACCAAACCACACTGAGGGGAAGTCTGGGTTTTGCTCAAGGACACGTCAGCAGGGCGGATGCTGGCCGACACTGAGGGCTTGAACCTTTGATCTTACGGCACCCTGCTGGCGCTCCGGTCCAGCTGATCTGACATTTAGGCCCAGGAAAGCAGATTTGCTGGGAAAAGTTCTTGAGCGGCACAGCAGAAGAAGTGGGACCATAAGAGCCCTGTCATTGCTCTCCGGTGACAAGTGGGCCTGTTTTTACACCTTCCTTCTAAATAAGGAAGCGGCCTGACAGACATATGACCACCGACCCAATTTGGGAGCAGGCCTAGTGCCCCATCGCGTCCCACGGCCGCTGAACGCCACCAATAAGCTTTCTGCCCTTTTCAGTGCAGCACTGACAGTACAGACTATTCCCCTCAACTCTCCACAGACTTGCTCTTTTTTCCTGCTGTCAGCACGCGCTCTACCCTTGTATTGTCCCAGCGGTGAAGTCAGCATGATGTCATCCAGGGATGCGATAGCCCTGGCAAGGTTGAAGCAGGGTTTTCGGTGAGTGGTGGAGGATTTGTTCCGAACTCTTACCGAGAAGGAGACAAAAAAAAGGGGGAAGAGAGAGAGAAAAAGAGAGAGAGTGTGTGTGTGTGTGTGTGTGTGTGTGGTGTGAGAGAGAGAGAGAGAGAGAGAGAGAGGCGCGGAGGAGCAGCAAAACATGGTAATCACCACCACCAACATCACCATCACCACCACCATCACCTCCAGCTCTGCCGCGCACTCTCCCGTCTCCTCTCCTCCTCTGCACCGGGGCTTGCGTTTCATGCCCAAAGCCCTGATCCGCGCTCCAAAAATAACCCTCAGCCAGCATGCCGAAGGAAGCAAAACAAGAAGAGCGGTATTTTTAGGGTCATTAAATTGGACCACGTGGCCCGAAAGGTAAACCGGATGGCCGTTGCGCAAAGGCTCCTCGTCAGTATGTCCTGCGAGGCCGGCACGCCGCACTGGACGCTGACCGCGGTGGTTCTCCTGGGCTTTCTGCTGGGGATCGTGTCAGCGTACCCCTTACCGAGCGGCAGGACGAATGCAACTTTACTGGAGAAAAGATGGGAGACCCTCTTCTCTCGCTCTGTGCTGGGGATCTCCGGAGAGAAACCGGAGCAGAACTGGGAGAGTGAATATCTGCTGGGCATCAAAAGAGTGCGGAGGCTCTACTGCAACGTGGGCATCGGGTTTCACCTTCAGATCCTCCCCGACGGCAGGATAAACGGTGCACATAATGAAAACCAGTACAGTGAGTTATTCCTTCACCCATGTAATGCAATAGACATAAAAAAGAGGCAGAGTCAGTGAGCATGGATCTATGATGGGCAGGCTAGTCATCCCCTCTATTCATCTGCATGGTCATATGTCATCCCCCCTCTCAGGGAGAATTGACTTTCTTTCACAGCAAAGACACATCTATTCAAAATAAGTCTCCATCAGTGCTGAACACCCCCCTCCCTCCCTCTCCCTCCTCTCACCCTCAACCATGACATGAATGTATGGACGCTTTTAGACACAACTTATTTTTACGCAGCTCTGTGAGGGCGGTCCAGAGACCAATAGCCGTGCACGTCAATGCAATTACCGCAATTATTATTGCAAAAAGCAGAATGCGCTTAATTGATTGGCACGCGCCAGGATGCGAATGGAAGATAGGGGGGAAAAGATGCAGAACAAAGGCTCGGCATACTGCGCAGCAATCTGCAAGGTTACACCCATATACGCAGGGAGAGCACAATGCTACAGACACCGCGATAAAACACCGAAGCAGCCGGGATGGTCGGCTGGATATTTACTCTAATGTTGCCTCTTTTTGTCTTGGTTCAGGTCTAATAGAGATCTCCACGGTGGAGAGAGGGGTGGTGAGCCTATACGGGGTGAAGAGTGAGCTGTTTGTCGCAATGAACAGCAGAGGAAGGTTATACGGAACGGTAGGTATGCACTGTATTTCATTTATTGTCCAGCAATGTTGCTTAAAGGGATCCTGGAAATATGACGCGCTTGCATCACTGATATAGTGATGTATTTCAGGATGGGACTCCAGCAGGCGGGGTGCTCATTATGCGGTGTGAAATCCATATATTTTAATTTCATCAGGAATGTATAAAGATCTATTTAAAGCAAGTGTGCCAGGCCTGATGGCCTATATGGGTAAATAATGATGAGGCTAACAGATGCAGGGTTGAGTCCTGACGCCTCTAATGTGTGTGTGTGTGTGTGTGTGTGTGTGTGTGTGTGTGTGTGTGTGTGTGTGTGTGTGTGTGTGTGTGTGTGTGTGAGAGAGGAGGAGGGGAAACCCCCTGACGCAGAGGAACCTGTCAGCAGAGCTGCCAATCGATTTTAACGGCAAAGCTTGTATTTTGCTGAAACCGAGGAGCAGCATCACAGATCCCTCAGCCTGCAGCTCCTCCCAGCTTCAGCCTCCAAAGGCAAAGACTGGAATAGGAGGAATTTTTAAACGTCTTCTCAGAACTGAAACATGCTTGTAAATGTATCAGGCATCATTTAAGGGTGATAACTACATTCACAGCCTCGTTTACAGTTTGTATTTTATGTTATCGGTGAATCCTCAATGAGCATGTTGACCGGCAAAATGAAAACTTTGCATTCTTACAGAATGGTCATAAAGCACCTTTGTGTACAAACGTATGTCTCATACTGAAAAACATGTCTGTTTGCTGCCAGTCTCGGTCAACACAGCAACCTCTAAAGAATCATGATTGAAATCTTTTGATTAACACAAATGAAATGTTTGACAAAATGACAGCAGCAATAGTTGTATCATCGTTAACCCTCGACTGAATGTTTAGTGATCTGCTACTGATCTCTGCTGGCACTTTTTAAGACTCTAGTGGAGGTTTAGATAAAGAGAAGTTTACCAATCAGTGAATACAAAAATGTAAAAACATACCAGTCAAGTTACCTCATGCTATGATCATTGATTTGTTATTGCACATGCTTGAAACACTCTACTGAATGTGTTTACATTATAGTTTATTCAAACATCAGCTCTCGTATTGAATCTTAATGCATGGATGCTCTTTCAAATTATTTTTTATATTAAGGGTTTCTAACTCCAAGGACTAAGAAACAATTAAACCTCATCGACAGCACACAGAAAAGATGTTTTAATATTACTGAGGATTAACTTTACAATCTGTAATTATTGGCCTCTACAGCTCTACTAATATAGAAATGCTGGAGGTGGGGACGCACACATCGTGTTGAGTAGAGCCCTGCTGACACATTACTGCCGGTTTGCTCGCTGGAGCAAACTCACTTGACAGACAGAATGTGAGTCAGTTATCTGGTCACGAGTGACGAAGTGTTAGCTCGTGAGCAGGCTGAAGATGTGATAAGAGATTGAATTAGGCCACATGGCCTCTGATGGAGAGTAGTGTACACTGTACGAGTCCTGACCTGTCAGTACTGAGTGACGGAGCAGTCCCGTTTTCTCTGCAAAGGTAGAAACTGCTCTGAGTTTCAGAATGAGGGGTTTTAATTAAAAGGTACGTCAGTGATCAGTGTCATACTCCTACCTCACAGCGTTTGTATTATTTTGACTCTTTTTGCTTTAATGTATGGTCAAAGAAATTTACAGAGATATACATTTTTGGACTTCATACAAATTGTTTTACTTTTTTTTGAATATAATTAAAAGTGTTCCTTAAGTTCAGAAATTAAATTATTCAACATCAGAAATAGTGCAAATATAAAAAAACAACGCATTATAGTTAAAAAAAAGCCGAGCTTGGCAACAGATAATGTCAGACATTGGCTAGTAAGACATTTTAGAAGCCATCAGTAATCAGCTGACGATGATATCACAGAGAAACTTTTCGGATGTTCTGGTGTAGCCAGCGGTTACGATTCTAGAGTCTGTTGGGGCCCCAGGCAAAAAATAATTGGGGGCCCTTCAACCCACATTTATCACCATAATCTCTGTCATTGTCCCGACGCTTGCCCGAAGTTTTCCTGTTTCATTTTTCTCACCTGTAGACGGATAATTCCTCTTTATTTTTCTTGGTTGACTTCCATTGAGAAATTCTGGTTTTCACAGCAATAATGCATGCAACGCTTTTCAAGGCAACGAGAGTGAATGCTTTTAAATGGGGCCCCCTTAGCAAGGTTTCCTACTGCGCATTTTGGGCCGCTGCTGTCGATTTGCGGCCCTCAGGGGCCCCCTACTGGTCTGGGGCCCCAAGCAGTTGCCTGCCTTGCCTGTTGACAAGCAGCGCCTCTGTAGACGCATCACAGCCAAGGCTGTCTATAGCTTCTGTGCACTGCATAGTTTACAGCCTAAAAGCCCCTTTATAAGCCACTCTGTGATCAGATCAAAAGGGAAGTGAAATTCTCCCCACCAGATGATTTCAGAAGAAGCACCATCATTTCTTGCTTCATGACATCCAGTGGAGGAGCACCTGTTCATCTGCTTCTAGTGAGTCTCAGCTGAACTGTAAATAGTTACACAGAGGCTTCACTTTGGTTTACAAAAGCAGTATGAACCCACAAGAGAAAATATTCTTGATTGACTTGCAAGAAACGGGTCGTAAGTTTGCTGAAATGACATCGTAATGTTGCTGTCCTCAAGAGGAGAAAGACAACTTTCAAAATGTTTGTTTGTCTATCAGATCGATCAATTATGATGCATTCCAGGAGTAGTGCCCATCTCCTGGCTGAGGCCTGGGCAGGGATAAGCCTACTTTTTCCAATGTAAAACTGACCTCTGATGGTCCTGAGTGGGTATTTTCCCCCTGTGTCCTTACAACCCTGTCCTTCTGCTGGCCTTCAACCCCCTTGTAAATCATGATCTCCATACCATATGTTACCGAAAAACAGATCCACTTAGGGCCCCCCTACAGGCCAAAATCAATAAATCCACCTTTTTTATTATTATTATTTATATTATTATTATTATTATTATTATTTATATATTATTATTACCGATTCAGTTTCATAACAAATGTTATCTCAAGACACTTTGCTAAAAGAGCAGATAAAAGACCTTACTCTTTGTAGTTAAGACCCGACATTGATCCATCATGAGCACTAAGCAACATTTAGCAAAGTAACAGTGGAGAGGAAAAACATCCTTTAAGAGGCAGAAACCTCGAGCAGAACCAGACTCATGATGAACAGACATCTGCTGAGACCGTGCTGAGCTTGAAAAGTGGGATAGAGGGAGATGCAGGAAGAAGGAGAGAGACAAACAGAGCAACAACAATAAATAAGATAGATTTAAAGCTACAATGTCAGTAATAATGGTAAAAGTATCTGGAATATTAGCAGTAGCAGCTAAAGATGGCCACACACTAGAGGATTTTAGGTCTGAGTTTGGGTCCACTATGGTCAAGGAGCGCAATTTTTTGTCCAAAAATCCTCAAGAGTGTGGTGTCACTACGATTATTTTACTGGTCCTGATCGAGTCAAAGCCTCCCTTATCTGGAATCATAAACATCAGACAACATGTTTGATATTTACGATTCCTGGTCAGACTAACTCCGACAGAATACTCTAAGCAGCCAATGAGAGCAGTCAGACTTGGAAAACATCACCAACCTGATCTGACAACTTACCCTCAGCTTGCGCTGCAAATTTAAAAAAGCTGCACATAATCTATCTTCTCAGCCAGGATCTCATCCCTATTGTAACGAAAAACACAGCAGGACAGCCAGCTGACGACGTCAGGTGTGTGGTCTCCCGGTCTGGCCGAGTTGTCTAGTGTGTGCTTTCAGAGAATTAGAATATTAGCATTTAGCTGAAACTGTCCTCATGTCTGTGGTCTCCCTCATTTTCATCACCAGTCTAATACTAAGTTTAGCAATGAAAATTCAAGACTGATTATGTTCATGTTTTTAACATACCATTGATCATGTATTTACTGTGTGTTTTAGGCTTTCTGAAGATTTTTCTTTTTAAATATTTTAAAATATTGTGTTTATTTGTGTTTCTGCTTTTGCCGCCCCCTTTTCTACTTGTGTACAATTTCTGGGCCTGGCCGAAGGTTTGCCCTTGAGAGCTACCATAAATTATTTTAGTGTGTGAAATATCAGCTGATCTGACGGCTGATTTGACTTGTTGTGCTTTGTTTTATTACACAAGCAGCAAAGTCAATATACCTTTAAGAGGAGTTGGTGCTGCATGGATATTAAAACTGTCAAAATATAAATGCATTGTTCCCAGCGCTGTTTGTTATCTAAATATAGATTTATATTTTTATGTTCTGCCTTTATAGCTTCAAACCACAAACTGTCTTTTTCCCTGAGTTGTCCATTAAAATGCACACTCTCTGTGTCTTTGTCTTCTGCAGACAGTCTTCCATGACGAGTGTAAGTTCAAGGAGAGCTTGCTCCCAAACAACTACAACGCCTACGAGTCTCTGGTTTACAGAGGCTCCTACATAGCACTCAGCAAGCATGGCCGCGTGAAGAAGGGCAACAAGGCCACCACTGCCATGACTGTGACGCACTTCTTACCCCGAATATGATGAGCGAAAAAAAAACTGGCAATGACAAACTTATTTGCACATGTGGATTATTTCCCAGGTAACCTAAATACCGTATACATACGTACAAACACAAAATACAAAATGGACTGTAAAAGAAAGAAATACCACTATATCTGATAGTATTTATTCTAACTTTATATGTATATTTGGGTAGCTTACTTTGTATTAGAAATGATGGAAATGCCATTCTTTGCTGCTTTTATGATTTTCATCATTTTGTGATATGAAGGGGATGGAGCGATGTCAATTATCCCCTCAGTTTTTATGGGTGCTTGCTGGAACTGGTTGAGCCTTGCTTGGCCTGTCAGTGGTTCATCCTTTTTTTGGAAATGAAAAGGATACGTTATTACCTCAAAGCACCATATCCTGAGAAGAAGAGGAAGCAGAAAAAAAGAGAAATGTGTGCATGAAATTTCTACAGAGAGGAATGCCTGTTTACTGAAAAATGTTTTTGTTGTCATCCATGAAGGACATTTCCCATCCTCTATGTTCGATTGTCTCTGTCCCTGTCAGGGCAACTAGAGCACTTGCAAATATGGCGCTGGATTTTCTTGCGTTGTCATGAGGTGGCGGTGCCTTGAATTCCTTCTTGCGACCCCCTTCCCCTCGCATGTGAGAAACGTGGTGCTCGAGTCAGAAATAGGAATGAAACGCAAGTCATCACTCCCTCTGACAGCGCCCCCCGGGGGGCTTTAGCCCAATTCCTAGAGGGCCAGAGGTTTCTCTACTTTATTTTCTTTCCATAATTAGATAAATTAAGTACTTGAGACTCTATGCTGCACAGAACCCAGTGGAGCCTCTTGTTAAAATTGAAAGCTAGATTTAGAGTCAGCACTCATCCCCCCTTCCACCCCCCTGCCCATTTTATCTAAGGGAGCTTTGACAATCCCAGTTTTTATTTTCTCTAATTTTCTAGCCGGATCATGAGTGTGTACTGTATGTTTATGGCCAAACGTTTAATTTATGAATGAATGGGGAACTGCTTGGTTTCAGAGCCTCTGATTTTGAAAAACCTGTTGTGATTTTTAGAGGGGTCTCTGTAAACAGAATATTATAGACCTGACACTATGAAGCAAAATGTCCTCTGCATTCTGTCCGTCGTGTGTTTAACCCCCCTTTATTCAAATTGAGATGATGCAATCGATTGCACTGTTCTACAGTGTTAATATTTTGTTGTTGAGCACTCGCTCTAATCTATCTAATTTATTTTTTCTAAATCTATTGGGAGCTGTTTGAGGTTGGTTTGCTGGCTGATTTTTGGCACTTAGAGTAACATGTTTGTAAAGAAAGGATTGAAGTTAGAGTTGCTTTTAATGAGGAGAAGATTCACGGTCAGTCTGCTGAATTCATTTAAAACAGAGAGAGAAGTGAAACTGCTTTTGAGATCATGATGATATGACTTTTGAACAATACTTCCCGTGACTCAGTGTGTCTGTCGTATAGATGGTGAGGCCTATTGATCCCAGATTTTAAAAGCCATTTATGCATTTTTCAGATTGGTCCTTGAGCGACAGTGTAAAAATGTTGCAGAGAGCATTGAACCAGAGGGTGATGTTAGCAATGTTCATATAGGCTGGTTGTGTTTGCAGAACAACATACTTGAATTCAACAGCTGCTCACACTCTTCCTTTGTGTACTGTATATCTTTCCACTATGGAGACGATGCTGTGGTGAGGGACAAAGAGCAAGCAGGGAGGAAGACAGTAACCATGTTCAGAGGACTTATATGGGACTCTGCATGTGGCACTGGTTGTTTGTTTAACTTGACAAGGATGTGAGAAATGTAGGGTAAAATACCTGAGCATCTGACCAGTGTGCCCCCTCGCCAGTAAATGTCAGACTGGACAGACGGTGCAGGGCCCTGGGATTGATGTCCGACTCATCTGAGCCACTTTTGTGCCAAGGTTGAAGATGGGGGGTCTTCCTGTCGCCTGTAGCAGCCGTGTTTTCTCATCCATCTCAAAGACTTTTGTCATGGTGTTTTAGGGAGGTTTGCACCTGCAGGATACAGTAATATTAGTCCTGAATGTGCAACGAAGACATGAATGATTCTAGTTCTTCTGATCAAAGTTTACTTCCTGTTGGAAGGTGTGTTAGAGCTCATTGTTTTTTATTTTTCTGGTTTCCGACCTGCACATTTGTGTTTAGTAGCAGAAACACGGGTCAGGCCAATGTGGTGAGACGTGGGTATAAATACAGATGTATGTTATCATATTTTACCTCATACCCTTTCTTACATTACTGTAACACACTGACAAAAATGTCTGTGAGCGTAGGTTCACGTGCCCTTTAAGCTCCAGCTCATGTCTAGTAGCAGAGACGAATGTGTAGCGTCTGTTCAGGGTGTGTGTGTGTTTGTGTGTGTGTTTGTGTGTGTATTAGTGCGCGCCCATGTGTCAAACTGAGCACGCTCCTGTCATGTTCTGTTTCTGCCAAAGCGACAGAAGAGATGGTATCAGTTAAATTTACCACGAGTCAGGAATAACAGGGCATTGTGTGTGCAAGCTGATGTACTGTACGCTCCTCGGGGGAGGAGGAGGAAGACAAGAGCGATGAAGGAAGTTTTACTCAGAGACTGCTGAGAGATACACTGCAAAAAAACTAAAATCTCAGCAAGTCTATTTGTCTTATTTTCAGTCAGAAATAAATTTCCACACTTACTTTAAGCCACTGTTACCGGAAAAATGCAGATATAAATCTTATCTCAAGATGTGAACATCAAAATAAAGGCCTGAATTTCTTGCAACAAGTTAAGATATGTGAGATGTACTCGTCGTGAAAATAGAACATCTCATTTAATTTGTTCTTACTACAAGCAATTCATGCTCTCATTTTAAATCTGATATCTTGAAATACGATGTAGATGTTAGCTTGTCAGGTGAATACGGCTCATAATTAGCTTAACGAGATATTTTGACTTTATAATTGGACTTGCTAAGATTTGAGTTTTTGCAGTGTTCCTGTTTGATGAAAGCACTGCTGGGGTCGGAGCTGGTTTAGTAGTTATGTAGCAAGAAGAATCGAATGCTTCCAGGAAAGTGACACTGGAGTTGAACAGGTGGTCTGTTGGACTGAATACTGTGAACCCAGAGAACAACTTGACTTGATTAAATGTTTTTTGAGTTATTGAGTTATTCATTCATTCATTCAGGGAATTGGAAACTTGTAATGGCTTGAAGGCAGAAAAGGTAACTGATAGAAAGCAAGGCTATTAAATATTCATCCTGACCCCCTAAATTCCTTGATTATGCATACTGAATTCTAAATGGAGTGTGTGTGTGCGTGTGTGTGTGTTACCCCCTTTGATTACAGATCCAGTGTCTGGATTATTTATCATGCCTGTTCAGCTGGTTTTAAAATGTGTTGGTTCACAGGGAAATAGGAGGTCTGTGGGAGGATCTGGGATCAGATGTTGATGTGTGTGTGTGTGTGTGTGTGTGTGTGTGTGTGTGTGTGTGTGTGTGTGTGTGTGTGTGTGTGTGTGTGTGTGTGTGCGCGCCGGCAGCCTTTGTGTTTCTCTCTCAGTTTTCTATTCCTGCACTGAGGGGAGAGTGCTTCCTCTGAGTCCCTCTCCTCTTTTTTAACATATACCTCACCTTCTGCCTTAGTTTCGATTATTGAAATGATTGTAAATTAGTTTGAAACAACAGACTTCTCCAATCATTTGTTTCTGAAAAATATGATGACGACTAAGTAAAATACTATATTACAAATGGTTTTCCTTTTATTTTTGTACGTATGTGCTGTGCACAGCAGTCAACTGTATTCCTGAGATGATAATAAAAGACTTTTGTAAAAAAAACAAAAAAAAAAAGTTTTTGACTGGATGTTTTGAAGTCACATGTTTGCTTTGTCATGACGCTCCACCTTGAACAGATGGACACAGACTATCACTGATGACCCCACAGGTCACTCCTACACATTCACACATTGACAGTAGAGGCTGCTAATCCCATTCATACAGGCTCATACGCCACGAACGAAGCAGCAGGAGCAACTTGGAGTTAAATGTTTTGCCCAAGAACACATCGGACTTGCAAATATGGCGCTGGATTTTCTTGCGTTGTCATGAGGTGGCGGTGCCTTGAATTCCTTCTTGCGACCCCCTTCCCCTCGCATGTGAGAAACGTGGTGCTCGAGTCAGAAATAGGAATGAAACGCAAGTCATCACTCCCTCTGACAGCGCCCCCCGGGGGGCTTTAGCCCAATTCCTAGAGGGCCAGAGGTTTCTCTACTTTATTTTCTTTCCATAATTAGATAAATTAAGTACTTGAGACTCTATGCTGCACAGAACCCAGTGGAGCCTCTTGTTAAAATTGAAAGCTAGATTTAGAGTCAGCACTCATCCCCCCTTCCACCCCCCTGCCCATTTTATCTAAGGGAGCTTTGACAATCCCAGTTTTTATTTTCTCTAATTTTCTAGCCGGATCATGAGTGTGTACTGTATGTTTATGGCCAAACGTTTAATTTATGAATGAATGGGGAACTGCTTGGTTTCAGAGCCTCTGATTTTGAAAAACCTGTTGTGATTTTTAGAGGGGTCTCTGTAAACAGAATATTATAGACCTGACACTATGAAGCAAAATGTCCTCTGCATTCTGTCCGTCGTGTGTTTAACCCCCCTTTATTCAAATTGAGATGATGCAATCGATTGCACTGTTCTACAGTGTTAATATTTTGTTGTTGAGCACTCGCTCTAATCTATCTAATTTATTTTTTCTAAATCTATTGGGAGCTGTTTGAGGTTGGTTTGCTGGCTGATTTTTGGCACTTAGAGTAACATGTTTGTAAAGAAAGGATTGAAGTTAGAGTTGCTTTTAATGAGGAGAAGATTCACGGTCAGTCTGCTGAATTCATTTAAAACAGAGAGAGAAGTGAAACTGCTTTTGAGATCATGATGATATGACTTTTGAACAATACTTCCCGTGACTCAGTGTGTCTGTCGTATAGATGGTGAGGCCTATTGATCCCAGATTTTAAAAGCCATTTATGCATTTTTCAGATTGGTCCTTGAGCGACAGTGTAAAAATGTTGCAGAGAGCATTGAACCAGAGGGTGATGTTAGCAATGTTCATATAGGCTGGTTGTGTTTGCAGAACAACATACTTGAATTCAACAGCTGCTCACACTCTTCCTTTGTGTACTGTATATCTTTCCACTATGGAGACGATGCTGTGGTGAGGGACAAAGAGCAAGCAGGGAGGAAGACAGTAACCATGTTCAGAGGACTTATATGGGACTCTGCATGTGGCACTGGTTGTTTGTTTAACTTGACAAGGATGTGAGAAATGTAGGGTAAAATACCTGAGCATCTGACCAGTGTGCCCCCTCGCCAGTAAATGTCAGACTGGACAGACGGTGCAGGGCCCTGGGATTGATGTCCGACTCATCTGAGCCACTTTCGTGCCAAGGTTGAAGATGGGGGGGTCTTCCTGTCGCCTGTAGCAGCCGTGTTTTCTCATCCATCTCAAAGACTTTTGTCATGGTGTTTTAGGGAGGTTTGCACCTGCAGGATACAGTAATATTAGTCCTGAATGTGCAACGAAGACATGAATGATTCTAGTTCTTCTGATCAAAGTTTACTTCCTGTTGGAAGGTGGGTTAGAGCTCATTGTTTTTTATTTTTCTGGTTTCCGACCTGCACATTTGTGTTTAGTAGCAGAAACACGGGTCAGGCCAATGTGGTGAGACGTGGGTATAAATACAGATGTATGTTATCATATTTTACCTCATACCCTTTCTTACATTACTGTAACACACTGACAAAAATGTCTGTGAGTGTAGGTTCACGTGCCCTTTAAGCTCCAGCTCATGTCTAGTAGCAGAGACGAATGTGTAGCGTCTGTTCAGGGTGTGTGTGTGTTTGTGTGTGTGTTTGTGTGTGTATTAGTGCGCGCCCATGTGTCAAACTGAGCACGCTCCTGTCATGTTCTGTTTCTGCCAAAGCGACAGAAGAGATGGTATCAGTTAAATTTACCACGAGTCAGGAATAACAGGGCATTGTGTGTGCAAGCTGATGTACTGTACGCTCCTCGGGGGAGGAGGAGGAAGACAAGAGCGATGAAGGAAGTTTTACTCAGAGACTGCTGAGAGATACACTGCAAAAAAACTCAAATCTCAGCAAGTCTATTTGTCTTATTTTCAGTCAGAAATAAATTTCCACGGGGGGGCGCTAGTGCACATGCTTATGGTGTAGACGTGTTTTGTCAGTGCTCCTCTCCGCGACCTAAACAAATCTATAATTTGACCACAAATAATCGTTCAAAGTCCCACGAGACGATTCAACCTTTTCTACCTAAGCGCAAGACCGACACTGTTTAAAAATGTCAAAGCCAAGTCTTTCCAGCAGAAGCAAAACTAAAGATAGCCAGACTGTTGGACCTACCGCTAGTGCTGGCGCCAGCAGCGGCCATCAAGGTGATCCCCCCGCTGCGCTGGAAGGACCACCCGACAAAACATTTGCCATGTGCAGGGAATTATGTAAGGAGATGTCTGAGTCGGTTCTGCGTGGCATTAATGAGCGCTTTGACGCGTTTGAAACTAGCTTCCAGTCGCTTGTGGCCTCGCAAGCTGCCCTGCAGACACGTGTGGCTAACCAAGAGCTAGCAAACAGCGACCTTGACGTATGTGTGCAGAAGCTAGAAGCTAAGTACTCAGAGCTAACGAAACATAGCAGCCAACCCCAAACCAAGGTGCTGGACTATAGAAGCCCGCTCCCAGAGGCACAACATTAAGATTGTCGGTGTAAAGGAGGGCGCAGAGGAAGGTAACCCGACTGAGTTTGTTTCCAGACTGATCCCAAAGCTGCTCGGGGAGGAGCATTTTCCACAACTGGTAAAAGTGGACCAGGCGCACCGCTCTCTCCAACCGGCACCAGCCACGGGCGCCAAACCGCGTACCATACTAGCCCGCATCCATCACTTCTAAGTGAAAGAGCTGATCCTGCGTCAGGGCAGAGAACAGTTCATGGAGTACAAAGGTAGCAAAATCTTGATCTTCCCGGATTATACCACCGAGCTGATGACTCAACGCCGTGCCTTCAAGACTCCATATCTACCAGCGAGATGGTGAAGCACCCAAGGTCTTCGATGATCCGAAAGAGGCGAAGCGTTTCGTGGAATGGAATGACGCACGTGAGGGGGAGTAGTAATATACTCCACACAATACAATTTTTCAGTTTAACATGACTGGTCATGTGTGTGGGCAAGGTGAGAGAACTACATTCTAAATGAACTGTAATACACACTGCGTTGGAATCTGTTAATGCCTTGTACACTTGTTGCTGCAGTGATCCGCAGCTGTTGTTTAACTGTCTGCTAAGATTCCATTGTTGGGGTGCGTTGGTGGCGCAATGGTTAGGGCGCGCGTCCATGTATTGAGACTCTCGTCTCGAGCGGTAGGCCCGGGTTCACTTCCACCCATGGCCCCTTTCCGCATGTCATTCCCCGCTCTCTCCCTGGTTTCCGACTCTATCCACTGTCCTCTCTCTGCATTAAAGGCACGAAAAGCCCAAAATAAATCTTTAAAAAAAAAAAGATTCCGTTGTTGGTGCGACTCACTTCCACCTTTATTTTCTCTTATTATGTGGTTCTGGATAATACTGTTCTTTATAAGCTTGTCACGGGGAGGGGACATTGAGGTATTGTAGATTTATGTCCGGCAACTCCTTCTCTGATAGAAACGGGATTTCACGTGTCAGGTTCAGGGAGACACAAAAGGTGGGGGGTGAGGGGGTTATTTGTTCTTTGTTTTTTGTTTTTCTTGGCTCAGACATGTTTGTACTGCTTGTTTCCCTATGCTGTGCTCACGCAATACTGCCAGTAACCTTACAGTGTTTATTGTGTCAGTCTTCAGATTTTATAGTTTGTCTTTTATCTTCTCATGCAGAGATCTCCTGGTGGAACACAGGGAGGTAGAAATATTTCAATAGTCTCATGGAACGTTAGGGGACTTGGCCACACTGTCAAGAGAGAAAAAGTCTTTAGGCATCTCAAATCTCTGTCTGCAGATGTTATTCTCTTGCAGGAAACACATATTAAGGCAACTGAACAGCGAAGACTGAGGTGCAGCTGGATCTCACAGGTTTATCAATCAACGTTTACCTCCCATGCCCGTGGGGTGGCCATACTCTTTAGGAAAAATATTCCATTTCAACTCACTTCCTTGGTTACTGACCCCTGTGGCAGGTATGTAATGGTCTCTGGTACTATTAACTCATTCCCACTAACCTTCCTTAATATCTACGGTCCAAACACGGATGAACCTAATTTTTTTAAGAAAATGTTTGACCTGCAACCCGACATCAGCAATTCAAATATTATAATTGGTGGTGATTTAAACTGTTATTTAGATCCCTGTTTGGATAGACTGTCCACGTGTCCCCCTCCTAAAATTACATCGGTGCAGGTTTTTAACAACCTTCTCAGGTCCAGAAACTTAGTGGGCATCTGGAGAGTTCAACATCCCACCGATAAAGAATATTCATACTATTACCACGTTCACAAATCTTACAGCAGAATATCTATTTTTTAATTGATTCTCATTTGATTTCCTGTGTTGAAAATTCGAAATATCACAACATACTAATATCTGTCCATAGCCCCTGCCAATGTCCTTAAACCTATCTTTACCGAAGCCGTCATACTCTTGGCGTTTTAATCCCATCCTACTCAGTGATGATAAATTCATAAAACACATTACTGTGAGATTAAACCATTTCATAGAAACGAATGATAATAGTGAAGTGTCAGACTCCACATAATGGGAGACGTTGAAAGTTGTTATTCGCGGGGATATCATTTCATATGAATCTGCTGCTAAGAAAGAGAAAGTGAGGCGACTATCAGAGATTGAGAACACTCTCCCTGCCTTAGAGACAGCATACCAGGCTTCTAAGTCTTCGGATGATTACAGGGAGATATTGAAGCTTAAATATGAGTTCAATAGCTCCCTAGATTGTCAAATACACAACCTTCTCCTGAAGTTAAGACAGAAACAATTTGAACTTGGGGACAAACCTGAGAGACTCCTGGCACAGCAGCTCAGAGGCACCCAAGCGTCGACGGCAAAAAATATCAAATCCAAGGCGGGCACCCTGCTTACTGATCCCAAAGAAATAAACAACTGTTTTCAAGAATTTTACAGCGAACTGTATTCTTCTAAACAAAATGTGATTCACTCTGACCTCAGTTACTTTTTTGATTTTATAACTATGCCTTTGCTAAGTGATAATGCCAGGGATGAAATTGACTCTGACTTCACACTAGAAGAAATTACTTCAGCCATAAAATCCCTTCCTTCGTGCAAGGCAGCTGGGCCTGATGGCTTCGGGGATGAATTTTATAAAGCTTTCAGTGACTTACTTTCCCCATTCCTTCTTAGAATGATAGCTAACTCAAAGGAAGACAATACTTTGCCACAAACGCTTTATGAGGCTAATATCTCTCATTCTGAAGAAGGGCAGGGAAGAGACGGACCCGGCCAGTTATAGACCGATTGCACTTCAGAACTTTGACAGGAAGGTAATCGCCAAAATGCTAGCAAACCGGCTAAACAAGCACCTGTCCTCTATCATCCATCCTGATCAAACAGGATTCATCCCAGGCAAGTTCTCCTTCTCTAATGTCAGGCGCCTCCTTAATACCATGTACGCTGACCACAGCGGGGTTGGTGGAGCGGCCATCCTGTCCCTTGACGCGCACAAGACCTTTGACCAGGTCGAGTGGCCTTACATGTTCGGATCATTGTCTAGATTTGGGTTTGGTGAAACGTTTATATCTTGGGTAAAGTTGATTTATGCCAATCCGACGTGTTCCATTTTAACTAATGGAGATAAGTCTGTCACTTTCCCTTTACATCGATCTGTTCAGTAAGGCTGCCCCCTTTCGCCAGCTCTCTTTGCCATCGCAAAGCCTGAAGCCTCTTGCTCTAAAAATAAGAGGTCACCCAGTCATTGAGGGACTGGAGGTGGGAGGTGTAGAATCCCTCCTCGGCCTGTATGCCGATGACGTAATATTGTGCTTGCAACATTCTGAAAAATCTGTTCCCTTACTTTTGGACGTGATCACTTCTTTTGGCAGGCTTTCCGGTTACACAATCAACTGGACAAAAAGTGATTTTATGCCTCTCTCAGATGTGTACTCCCCTGGTTTCCTTGAAAATGTCCCGTTCAAAATAGTCAGAGACCACCTCTCATATCTCAGCTTGATAATACCTAAAAACCCCAAATTAATGTTTAAACTAAACTATTCTGAATTTGTCTCTAAACTTAAAAAAAACATTGAAAAATGGAAAACCTTACCATTATCTATGTTGGGGCGTATAAATGCAATTAAAACGATTTCCCTTCCCAGATTCCTTTACCTTTGCCAGAACCTCCTGATTTTTCTCACATCAGCTTTTTTTAAAGAGTTAAGACTTTGTAATTTTGTCTTACATTTGGAACTACAAAAATCAGAATCTCAAAGGCGCACCTGCAAAAACCCAAGTCTGTGGGCGGGCTGGGCCTACCGGTATTCAGGCACTACTACTGGGCTGCCAATGCCAGGGCCTTGATGTTTTGGCACAGTAAGCCGGGCGGTTTGGCCACCGATGTCCCCTTGTGGCTTGACATGGAGGCTGCCTTGGTTGGCAGCTCTTTCTTGCCAGCCATGCTATTTTCCAAGCTAGAGAAGCCTGAGTCCTTAAAGGCTCTAAGCTTTGTTATTAAGCACTCTATCAGAATCTTAAACCAGATCAGGAGCTTTTTAGATCTACTGGAGACCTCTGTGCAGACACCAATCTGTTTTAACCACTCTTTTTTGCCTCCACAGTTAGATAAAACCTATCATGTCTGGAGGGAGAGGGGTTTGGTAAACGTCGCAGACCTCTACATAGATGGACACTTTGCTTCATTCAATCAGCTGAGAGAGAAATTTTATCTGCCCTAGTCACACTTTTTTAGCTATCTGCAAATGAGACACTATGTTTGATCCAAAATTCATGATTTTGAGACCCTCCCAGCAGAAAACATTTTTTGATTTCCTGAAAAACCCTCCAGACTCCAGACATCACATCTCATCTCTAAGTTTGTGTGTTTGTTTGACAGTTGTATCTCAGCCCATACCGTAAATATCCGGGAGGCTTGGACAGAGGAATTGGGCATTGCTCTGTCAGAGGTTTTGTGGGATAAGAGTCTGTCTATGATACATTCTTGCTCTGTGAACAGTAGACACCAGCTGATTCAATTTAAGGTGGTCCACCGACTTCACTATTCTAAACACAGGTTGCATCGATTCTATTCTTCTGTTTCCCCATTGTGTGACAGGTGCAAAGTTTCAGAGGACACATTGACTCATGCCTTCTGGTCCTGTCCTTTGCTCACTGGATTTTGGTCCAAAATATTTGACTGGTACTCTAAGGCCTATAACAAACTCTTTAATCCAGATGCTGAAGTTGCAATCTTTGGCTGCTCACAGTTATCTGAAAGTCTTCCCTCACGCCTGCAATGCTCCTTAGCACTGGGGATGATTATCGCTAAGAGACTCATTCTGACAAAGTGGAAGTCATCTTCCCCACCTTCCTTTCAAAAATGGATCTCTGAAATTATGTCAGCCATACGAATGGAAAAACTCAGGTTCCTGAGGACAAGGTCGATTAAGAAATTCTTGGCAATCTGGGACCCATTTCTTGCCCATTTGGACAAAGCTGATGTGGGTTGAAAACTCATCTTGTTACCACCACGGACCTCTTCTTGAGAGACTTAATACACAGCCTATTTGGGTTTGCTGAGTGACTGGCAGCTATGCAAAGAAATTTCTGTTTACTTTTCACTTTACCAATTTTTTAATGTACATGTCTGAGCCGTGTTTGTTTGTTTGAGTTCCTGTATGTCCTTGTATTATTTGTATTATGCACAAAAGATAAAAACTACAAATAAAATATTGAAAAATAAATAAAAATAAATACATTTCCACACTTACTTTAAGCCACTGTTACCGGAAAAATGCAGCTATAAATCTTATCTCAAGATGTGAGCATGAAAATAAAGGCCTGAATTTCTTGCAACAAGTTAAGATATGTGAGATGTACTCGTCGTGAAAATAGAACATCTCATTTAATTTGTTCTTACTACAAGCAATTCATGCTCTCATTTTAAATCTGATATCTTGAAATACGATGTAGATGTTAGCTTGTCAGGTGAATACGGCTCATAATTAGCTTAACGGGATATTTTGACTTTATAATTGGACTTGCTAAGATTTGAGTTTTTGCAGTGTTCCTGTTTGATGAAAGCACTGCTGGGGTCGGAGCTGGTTTAGTAGTTATGTAGCAAGAAGAATCGAATGCTTCCAGGAAAGTGACACTGGAGTTGAACAGGTCGTCTGTTGGACTGAATACTGTGAACCCAGAGAACAACTTGACTTGATTAAATGTTTTTTGAGTTATTGAGTTTTTCATTCATTCATTCAGGGAATTGGAAACTTGTAATGGCTACTTAGTAGTAGTAGTCTTAAATTGTATCTCCATATCATGTAGTTTTTCCACATTGTCCGACCAGTTTCTCTGAGTGTGATTGTGGTTAATTAAAACTTAACTTTGTGTGGCATTTGAGCGAGTGTGCAGGCCTGTCTTCCTCCTCAGTCTGCTGATTTTGTTCCTGCACCAGCTCATTGAGAGCACCGGAACGTTTTAAATTGAATGGAAAACAAAAAAAGAGGGATGAAAGCTATTCCTTCAACAGTCCATTACGTAAGCGGAAGGGAGAAAGGGCGAAATTATGCACAGTTGGTTAATAAACAAAGTATGTGTCCTTCTTCTCGGTTGAGTCATCACACAATGTCACCCAATGAAGCTGGGAGGGTTTCATGACTGATTGTGGCCTTCGGTTAGCGAGCAGGAGAGTTATTTTTAACACTGAATAGGTTCAATTAGATTCCTCCTTCTATGCAGCTTAAATCTAAAATAAATCGATGTTACTCTGACCGTACTGAGTAGTCAAAGTCTGGCTTCAACAAATGAAATACAATCAAATGTTTAGAAACCTTTCGGCCCTACCTGACTTCATTTTCTTCTTCTGTGTCGTTAATGAGAAAAGTTCAAGCACTATCTCCATCCCTTCCTCTCTCTCCTCATCCTCTCTGCTGCAGTCTCTGAAATCAAAGGTACAGTCATGAATTTTTTTAAAGAATTTAAATACTGGTAAATAATGTTTTGCCAGTGAGTGCATGCAGGAGTTCCACCTGAACGAGCTCAGAAAAACAGGCTGGCTTTGAGTCATTGTGGTAAATGAGTAAGCCAGGTTTATCGACCTCCTGTTTAAATAGACCTGCTGGAATTTCTCCTCCTCCAGTAGCTGCCCAAAGCACGGTATCCCCAATTGATCATGCAACCGGCTTCCTTCCTACTCATGCTCATTGCTGTGTCTGTCGTGGTGGATTGTGCTCCGAGGCTCCGGGATCCAGAGCGGCTTTCACAACATCAGCCGAGCAGCTTCAACACAGGAGATCATGCAGAGGCACCTGCTGGTACGAGGCCCTTCGCGGTGGAGCTGAGTGGATCAAAGAGAAAAGGCATCCACAGAGCCTTTCTGGGTGAGCGCCGTAATATACACAAACACACACACACAATCAGTCTAATTTGAGATCGTTTGAATGAAGAAATTGCGACCTTTGGATAAATAATTGTACAATTTTATTCTTAATCTAAGTTTGTTTTTTTAGAAGGTAATAAAATGATTTGCTAAAATGTTCAGGAAAAAACAACAACACCTGGAGGAATGTATTCCTACACAGAAATCAAAGCTGGAAATACATTTTAAATGTATATCTATGTTTGGACTGATATGTTGGAAATGATTTTGCACATCATCTATACAAACAAACAAAAGTGATTTCTTGCAGCCACTTGTGCAAATGTCCAACCAGCTTTTAAACTCCACTTACACAATATGTTTCTAATGTAGAACTGCTGATGACATGTTCGATCTTGTTTTTCTTGCAGTCATACTGCCGCTACGAACAGATACCAGCAACTTTGTGTCAATATTTGATTTGAGAAGAAAGCGTTTCATCTGCATGGACGGAGAGGGAGAGCTGTACAACTCTGTGAGTCATTTATTCAATGAAACAAATTTAAAGCTGTGATGTTTGAGGGCTGAAAATATTAAACGTTTCATATTTTCTTACTTTGTTCTTCCTTACAGAGACAGAGGGAGGGAGAAGAATGTCTCTTTCAGCGCATTTGGTTAGATTTGGAGAATCACCGTGACGTCTTTTACTCTACAAGTGGGGATCGACTGCTCCAGCTCAAAGCAGCCGAGCTGCCAGTTTCTCACCAGGAGCCACATGAACCTCCGTCATCCCTGGTGCAGAGGATCCGGGGTAGCTCAGCTAAGAGACGGAGGAGGAGTGGGGAGGTGAATCCCTCAGCTCCATTACAGAATCCTTCACATTCAGCAAAGGATCACAGGGACACAGATCACAGGCAGCCTGAACAGGACCAAACTGGAGCTGTGTCCAAAGAGACCATCACGTCTTTTGATGACCCCCTGCGGGTTTTACAGCCCAACGTGCCCGTCAGCCCAGTAAAGAATAATATAGCAGAAAGGGCAAAACAAGACTAAGACACTGACTCTGATTTATATATATATATATGCAAACTCAAGAGGCACTGTAAGTTTGTTACGAAAACTCGCTCATGTGTGACTGCAAATTGGGAGAACTCACACTTTACACCTTGTTTGACATCAGTGAGGCCACAGAATGACTCACAGTACAGTCGAGTCAAAGCGACTCCAAAGAGTTGATGTTATCTGCTGATGAACATGAAAACATTTAATACTTTACAACTTTGGGATACAGTTTTCTAGAAGTGGTTTTCGTGGAGTCCTTGTGGTTGGTAATGGACTCCATGTTACATCACAGCAGCCTTTTGTTTGAGTAGCTCATGAGGGCTACATTTGGCAACATTTGACATAGTCAGGCAGGTAGTTTGGTCCAGTGTCCCGCTGTCCTTTAACCTCCTTAGTTGGTTAAATTTTAAACCCAAGGGCCAGATGTGGCAATGTTTTTTTTGCATATGTACTCATGTGTAATCTGTAAGTAATTATGAATATTTATAAACCTTTGACGATACAGTAAGGTCTCATAACAGGATTTTATACAGCAGTTCATTCTTTTGTTACTGATAAAAAAATTCAAATAATTTGCAATTTGCATCAAATCTAAACAGGAAGTAATTATGTCAGGTGCAGGACACCAACAGTGAACGACAATGAAGAGGTATTTATTTATTGAAATGTGTGAATCCTACTTTTATTATTTATATGTTTCATGCTGGGTTCTTTCTGATGTGGAAAATAAATGAGAACTATTTTGAGGATTCTCTTTCTCCCTGTGTGTGTTTATTTACTCAACGATACAGAAAAATAGTATTTTTGATTATGTCTTTGAGACGAATGAATCGAGGCGATTTTTGAGGACATGGTGCAGCATGAAGGACAAAGACTTGTCTCACCCTCGACCGCAGCCCCTCTTATCATCACATTCACTTTTTAATGTCTTTCATTGGACAGGACAGCTGAAGGCAGACAAGATAAGTTGGGAGGAGAGAGTGGGGGAGGACATGCAGCAAAGGGCCGAGGTTGGAATCGAACCCATGGCTGCTGAGACGAAGACTGTAGCCTCTGTACATGGGGCGCGCGCCACATAACCACTAGGCCATTGATCATCAACTGGCAGCAGACGGGCCACATCAGGACCCCAAAGCTTTCCATCCAGCCCCCAGAATATAAATCATATCGGGCAATTAAACAACAAACATAAAATCACAAGGCTGAAATATTCTCATAAGGTTAATGGGAGAAGTTGTTTTTTTTCCCGGTCTGACACCAACTTCTTTACATCATGCTTGACAGCTGCTGTCAGGCTTATGTGCAAGCATATTTTAAAGTCCGGCCCCCACAGTGTCTGTCAAGAGAAAAGCTGGCCCCTGTACAAATGTAGTTGATGACCCCTGCACTAGGCTGCCCGGCTCCCTGAAGTGAGCCTCTCTTATATGACCTGTTTTAGTGGTCAATCATATATTCACTGTTCCCTTATAGAAACAACTCTTAAGATTCCCCCACATAATAGTATAAAAAAGAAGAATTGACAAAGAGTGTCCTTTCCCCTTCTTTATTTTTAGGGTTAGTGTATACATTGATTCAAGTCACATGACATGTCTCTGTAAATGTAAAATGTTTCAGTCAACAAACATTAGGAGAACAACACAAACCACTACCAAACAATCCTTTTCGTAAGTATGGAGAGGCCACAAAAAGTGACACGGGGATTCTGCACTCAGCCAGTTGATTATGTAACTGGCAAATATTAGACCTGGACAAAAATAATGGACAAACCAAATCCTTGCATGTGACAAACGATTCACACAAGGCACACTGACTGAAAGAGAAAAGATCAAGGCTTGATGTGCCCATGAATCTAAATGTTACAACAGTTATTTATACACTCATTTAAAGCAACTCTCACATCACATATGGCAGCTTTTTGTTGACACCACTTTGATGCAGAAAGAGTTTACAGCTAAATAAATCAGATAGCATTCAGACAGAATCTTAGACACAGCAGTCTTTAAACATTTTGTGTTTTTCTCACAGGTTAAAAGTCATTCACTGTGCACCTTCATCAATATGGTCTAAGAATCTGATAGTAATATACCAATCGTTACTTTATTCAACACAAAGTTTAGAATTTAAACTTAATACCAGCACAATGCATCCCTGCAACACCGTCACAGTTTCTTGTCCTGTATTTGTCCTTGCTGACCTGAGCGTTAAAGCACAACAATGACGAGTCACTCATTTTCCACAAAGTCAACAGTGCTGCAGTTTCACTCGAGTTTCTCACCAAGATATAAGTCAGACGGAATAAATATAGAAACAGAGACTCATTAGAGCACACATTTACATGAATGAACAGCCAGGCAGTAACATCAAGTGATGATGATGTTAACCTGGAGCTCAAAGCATCTATCTGAGGTGAAATGACAGGGCTTGACTCATGACACAGCAAATAAATGCCGACATAAAGAAACAAAATAAAGTTTGTTGTGTGGGTATATATGATGGGCTGGATTTCTGATGTCGATTAAGAAGTTTATAACTTTACAGTACTGCAGGGTTGTTACACTATCAGGTTTCTAAACTGTGATACAATTGTAGTGAAAATCAAACAGTGTAGATACCTGTTTCCATAACCATGGCAACAAAAAGTTCTCCAATGCACCTTTTATGAAATGACAAAATAAAGAAGGAAAAGTTCTGAACACTTGATATGTTGCATATCTGGGCAATTAAGACAGTGCTCTCTCTCTCTCTCATGGCAGCTTTTGTTTAAAGGTCACATATTATCTTCCTTTTTATCCAGTTTAAATACATCTCAGAGGTCCCCAAAACATGTCTGTGAAGTTTCTTGTTTGATCCTGCATTTGATCATGCCTATAAACCCCTCTATTTCAGCCCTACTCAGAACAGGCTGTTTCTGTGTCTGTACCTTTAAATATGTAAATGAGCTGTGTCTGACCACGCCCCCTCTCTGGAAGGGGATGGGACTCTGGCTTTCTTGTACCATGCACTACTTTTAAGGTTGAAAGGCAGACTCAGAGGGCAGAACAAACACCTAGCTGTGGGAGTGTCACCCACTTGGGGGAGGGGTTACTGCCCTTTGTGATGTCATGAAGGGAAAATCTCCAAACGGCCTGTTTGATCACACATTTTCTGAAAAGTGGAGCAGGCGAAAGACGGAGAGGATGGACTTTTCTCATCATTTACGGGGTTTGCAGACAGACGAGAGAAACATATTAATGTTAGAAAAACATGGTGAAGTCTATTTTGCACAATATGTGACCTTTAAAATGACTGAAGATCTGATGTTTTTTTAAAAGCGTTGGTACTTTTCAAACTCTATTAAGCATTAAAAATAACTAAGATTGTATCGTTCTAAGACACGAGGTATCGAAACGTTTCAGAGTATTAAACAGTTTGACAACCGAACCTTGACATAATGTGTTTGTCAAAATATGTGGACATCAATCCAGCCATCATTTGTGAAGTCACTTAGACGCTGGTGGCACAGTGGTTAGTGTGCGCGCCCCAATGGAGGCCTTGCTCCTCCAAGCGGGCGGCCCGGGTTTGACTCCCAACGGTGGCTCCTTTCCCGCATGTCATTCCCTACTCTCGCTCCCTGATTTCTGACTCTATCCACTGTCCTATCTCTCCATTAAAGCCCAAAAATAAATCTTTAAAAATAATAATAATCTAAATTAGAATTACTCTGACCCTATGGAGCTTTTCATACTCCCTCTTTAAAGCTCTCTCTCTCTTATCTTCTTTTATTTCTCAAATTCCTCTATTGTTTAACATGGTCTCCTCTGTGCACAAACACACAGCACATCTCCGCCAATTTGAACCTGTCGTCCTCTTTCCTCATGGTTAGTAAAAACCGACATATCCCTGTGTTAGGACTCAGAGAGAACGCGTGTGCTTTGTCCGAACCCTGAGGCAAGGAGCAACCTAACTCCTCCACAAAGTAGCGCACTGCTACACACATGTAGGCCCCGTGGGTGACAACCAGAGCATGGACGGGGACGCCCCTGACTCCATCGTCTGCCATTCCCTCAGCAGGAGGAGTTTGTTGTGGAGCGGATAAGTCGGCTTCATCCTCCCCTAAGTCATCCCAGTGGTCGGCCCCAATGTGCAGGAGCATTTTCTCCAAAAACTCTTTGACCCGCTCCTTCACCTGGACAGAGCACAAATTATAAACTGTGTCATGCTTCTCTTGCACTTTGTGTGTGCACTTGTGTCACACACAAAAGTGTCTACGTGCAACTGTGGAAGACAAATGTGAAGGGTCATTATATTAAAAACAACATAGTCACAACCTAATCCATGCCAGCTCATTCTGACGCACCTGTAAAACGTTTAGGAGTCGGGGGAGGGAGTCGTGTAGCCGACACTGATTGGGGCTCTGAGTGCCTACGTCAAATCTATATTTGTATATCTGCAGCATCATCATCATGTGCTGGTCACGTACTGGGTTTGAGTTAACGTCCAAGCCAAGATCTAATAGATGAAGCCTGACGAGGTTCCTTTGGAATAGAACATCCTTCCTTCCTACGCCCCCACACTCACACTCTGTCCTCCCACACAGCCTCCAAGACAGATAACACCAAGCTAAGTGGTGACTTTTTAATCAGGGGCAGTGACAAACACTCTGAGGTTGTTTGGCATGTAACTTTGAGTCTTGTGATTTAAGCCAATTGCTGGTATTTACTAAATATCAATAAAATGTGTAGAAAAGAGGCCCTGACATAAAGCTGACATCAGAGCTAAAGAAGAAGTATGTTTCCAGTACAGTTTCAGGTGTGTTGAGGTTGGATTTGTATCTGGAGGTCATTATAGATACAAATTAATTGTGTTTACCTTAAGCACAACACGTGAGAATCTCATTGTCTTCATGCATCTTAAAAATTCAGTAAGTCTTAAACTCCTGTGGAGCCTGCCCATGTAAAAGGAGTTTAGCTTTAAAATTACATTTCAGTTTTAATCTGATTCATTTTACGCCTCAAAATCACTTGAACACTTGGAAGAAAAACAGCCTCACAACTTTTCAGAGACAAAGTCTGTGACATCCTTGTGTTTATTTTATTTGATGTTTTTTTATGACTCCATATAAATATAAGTTAATATGACCCCTTTGTAAGATCTGCTTTTCCTTTGGCATCATAGTGTCTGCTCTCAGAGGTAATAAGAGTAAAACGGACAAGTGTTTTCTATTTGATTTCAGTTTTCTCTTTTGAATTGTAGTCATATAATAAAATGTGGAAACTTCACAGGGGGTGAAGCACTTTTTTAGGCATTGTGAGTCTTGTGACCCCAAACACCTGCTGAACCTGTCACTTAACTCACTTAGATGATTGAGGTAATTTTCACCTTTATTCTTTTAATCTTTATTCATGTTGATGAAAAAACAAGTTTTCAAAACTCAGATTTTGTTG